TCAATCTTTAAAAGCAACTGATTTTCAGAGAGCATAGTCCTGGCAACCTTTTTGAATACAGGTATTGCTGCACTGCTGAATAGCTCAAGCATCGTCTGTCCCTGAGGCTTCTGAGGAGGTTGCAAAATGTCTTTAATGCCTGACTAATTAATTTTACCTAGTGGAAGGGTTTTCTCCACCTCATTAATGGGAATAGCAAATCTTTTTCAGAATAAATGTAATATCCTGGTTTCAATGATACTCCATGTCAGAAGGCACCAGTGCTTAATGAGACAGGATTTTGAAATGTTCTTTATTTTGTCTCTTTATAATAAGCATATTTCTTTCCTTACAGTAGCACTAGGCTTCCCAGTGAAATAGAAAATAGGATCATTATCTGTATCACTTTTACCAATTTACAAAACCAGAGTATTACCTCTATTCATCTCTTTTCCTGTAGGTGCAGTACAGCTCACTGAAATCTCTCTTCTCTCTGCCCCTGTTAGTGTTTTGATTTGTCATTGCTCTTGCTCTGCTTCCAGTAGGTAGCTTGAAGGATGGGTGTTTAAAACTGAGCAATATCCCAAAAGGACAATATAGGATATTTTCAGATATTATTTTCTGCTATCATGTTATGTTATAGTTGAGGCTACTGACAAACTTTTTTCTGGTTGTATTTCTGTTCAGAAGACTGCAGCCTTGGAGCCCTGACAATTAATTTCTGTGTGCATTAATTTATGTTGATCAATATGAACACTGAACCTGAATCCTCTCCCTGATTTTTCTTTCAGGTATAACATAGATCTGCTCAGTCTTGGGTATCTTTCAGTAATATATTCATGTTTGACTGCAAAAGTACCAGAAGTCATATACATCTATGCTTGCATGACTACTCATGGTCCTTAAATAACCAGGTATAAAATTCAGAGTCTGATGCTTTTGCTTTTTTGATCTTCATGTCAAGTACTTAATCTTCTTGAAAGTTATGCCACATTTAAATTTTCAAGGGAACCTGTGTAAAACAAAGAACACATAAAAGGTGAATTAGACGTGATGGAGTAATTTTGTAAACATTCTGCCAAGTCACAGTCCTCTTTTTCTTACTCCATTCTGTAAGTTTCAGATTTTATAGAACCAGCTTTTTTTCCAGTTGCATGTTTCTCTCCGATCCTTTCCCTTTATCAAACTGCCTTCAGCAGGACAGCGCAGGCAGTTTCCTTTTGTGTGCTAAGGACACTCTGGCCAGCTTTAAACAAAACAAGTCAAAGGTTAACTGAGGCCAAGGACATGACACTGCCCACATCCTTGTGTCTCTGCTTTCCTCCTTCCAGCACAAACTGGTGATGCCCAAACTGCATTTGGGAGCAGTGTCAGGCACAGCTGGACCTGATGCCTTCTGAAGGCTGACCTAGAACAGAGGCTGGACAGAGTTAAAGAATAACGTAGGTATTTATCAAAAGGCCTCAATGGTTGAGCAGTACAAGAGCCCAGCCAGGGCTACACCCCAGGTGAACCCAAAATGGTCACAAAATGGACGATGGGTCATGAGGTCTCTCACTTTGACAAGTTCTGGTCCATTAGCATATTGGAGTTAATTGTCCAATTACAGCTTTAGATTATGAAGTCCCATCATTCTTGTCTTTCTCTCTTCAGTCCACCATTGTTTATGATCTTGGGCCTGAGATTCGGATCAGCTGTCCTTGGTCCCAAGCTAGAGAAGGAATTGCTTTGTCCTCTCTGCAAGGAGAGCTTACCATCCCCCAACATGAAGCTCAGAACTACACACCAAAGCAGCACAGACTCTGAAAAATACAAAAGCCAAACCCTGAGGTTTGGTCTGAGGCATCAGACCCATCACTGACCCTGGGAGGTCTCTGGGGGTTCTGGTTGGCAGGAGCCAGTGCTGCACCAGGGAGGGTGCTCACAGATCATGTCTGTGGCTATGTCCCATTGCTTCAGCCATGGTCACAGGCCTATTTCCTGCTGTTAATGACACCCAAATGTCTGAGCAAGCACTATGAAGAAAAAGAAAACTGGTTCTCACTTTTCTTCTTTCGAGTGAGTTTAAATTACAAAGAAAAATCATTAGAGCAGATCCCTTTCCTACTGAAATGCCAGGCTGGGAAACAGGGCTGGAGTCTCTGATGCATGTGATTCACCCTTGAGGCAGGAGAAAACCTTCTTTTCATTTTCTGACTCTAGTTTAAGTCCCTGAATGGCCTAACCCTTGACATAGCTTCCCAGAGAAGCTGGGAAGCGGCTCTGCTTTTTCCTGCATGCTGCCCTGATAGCCCTGGATCTTTTAGAGCAGCTGTCACACCATAAAAGGATTATCCTGCAAGTGAGAGAGTTCTTGTCTGCCCTTCTGGGTCACTTTTTCCCTGCTGTGTCTCAGTAGCGCAGGACAAGCAGAATGAGGGCAGCAGGCTCAGCTGTTGGATTTGTTTCTCATATGATCAAGTGAAGGGTGGATGGGAAGAGTAGAGGGGGTTATATTGTAAAACACCACTGAGCCATTAAACTGTCATTTACTAAATAGTAAATATAGCTAAATACCTTGTTTTGTGATAGAAGAAAAATGGGAGTACATTTAAATATGTATATATAAATTTTATTTTTATTCTGAAAGCTATCAGCTGCAATTTTTGAGGTGTGGCCAGGGGATGACATTATGTTCTTTTTTATGTAAGGGATGTCATGAATGTCAGAAGTTTCCCTTCTTACCTTAAAAATCAAGCTCCAATAGCACATGAGAGTTAATTTCTTGGTCCCAGCAGCTTGAATCAGATTACCAGAGGTATGGACCTAAATTCTGGTGAGCTACCTAATGAGAGTGTGGAGCTATTCTGGCTGAGACAACAGAAAGTACTAAGCACAGAAGACCCCAGGACACTCTAAAAAGCAGCCATATGGAGCCCCATCCTGAGTGGGTACATGATCCTGCTTCACTCTTTCACAATGTAATGGTTGCACTTACTCAAAAAGGAGATGTGGGAGGTTCAAACATAAAGACAAGTGTCCTGACTGTGGAGGTAAGGTATTCTGGGTGCAGAATAACAGTGGGGGCTGTGCCACTGTGTGACTGGGAATGTGGGAGTCTCGCCACCAGAAGGAGAATCCAAGCTGCTGGAGGTATGACTTATTGCTGTCTCTGAATTGCTGCAGAGCAGAAGCAGGAGCTGCAGATACAAGAGTGCCTACACTTGTTTACACTCCAGAAAAACTGCAGTAGAATTCAGGCACTGGATGGGTTCAGGCATCTCCCAGTTGTATAACTGCTGCTAACGTTGAACTTAGACACTTATGTTCTACCTAAGTAAAATTCTAAGTAAAATTCTTTTGTTTGTTCTTGCCCCAAATCAACTAACTGCAGCTCCACAAGAATTTGATTTTCTAATCCAGCCATGCTTAGTCATTGATGTAAAACAAGATTTTTTTTTTCCCCCCCTCTCAGATTCCTTTCTAATGGTTTCTTATTTCTTACCCTCAAAATGTGTGCCTGAATTCCCTGCATCCATTTGTAAGGGCTTTCCCGCTTCCGGAAGTGTTTAATCAAATGGAATGCTATCAGCAGGTGGTTAGCATAGAATGTCAGCAGCTACTTCGTTTCTGACATCTCTTGGGAAAAAAATGTTTCATTACCATGCAAATGATGTTAGTCTTCCTTTCCAAGATCCATTGTCACATGGTGTAACATATGGTCCACAGAACTGTGCTCCCAAGATTTATGCAGCAGAGGGGACACAGTTCTGCTTTCTTTTAAGTTTTTCCTTAGGTTGTATCAGAAATATCATGGTGCCTTTAACAGCCTATGCCAGACAGAAGAACCGAGCAGCTTTAATGGGTGCTATTATTTTTCTGGAGTATGTCTGGGATGTGAATTATTCAGTTGATACTTGGATGGCCATCTCTTGAACTACACTAAAAATATTGAAGCTGCTAGCCTCTCCTGGGAATTTTTAAAAGTTCCAATCATGGTAGTTGGAACTCAACTCTTCCAAGGGCTGTGAAACCCTCTAAGTAGTCTAGGGTAAACCTAGTCTGATTCATCAGAGGACTGGAGTACAGTTCAGTGACATCAGTGAGACTTCAGGATATGTCTGGAATTAAGCATATGTTTGAGTGAATTGTTAACCTCAAGTGTATGATCAAGTGCTTTGCTGACTCAGGGACAAGACATTCCTTGCAGCTTGTTGTTTTTCCACTTTGCCATCTGGGAAGAGGCAGCTTGACAGCATGTGGGCTGTGTGAGACTTTATTGCATTTCTGAAAGGGTATTAACAGTCTTGAAGTTTCCAGGTTCTCCAAATCAGGTATTTTTTCTCTTCCATGTCTAACTGGGGTAAAATAACCTCACTGTAGTGTCTGAAAGCAAACTGACCATGCCAAGGCATTTTGGCAGGTTATCAGTCAATCTATGCCTATTTGAAATAATCTCATATTTTAGAGGAGCTACTAAAGATGCAGGTGGAAAGCTTTACACAACCTGCAGGTTTGGGACCATGAAATTGCCCCTTTCAGATACTTTAGGAAGTCTCTTTTGAGTAACTGGACAACTGTAAGAACCCAAATTTGTAAACACTTTTAATCTGAGTCATATCTTCTCTAGACCCATTTTCTGAGCTGGGGGAGCACATCCCTATTTATATGAAATAAATGTTGTTACAGGCTGTTCAGTCAACAAACTCTTGTTTCAGCCAGGTAATGCAAAAGAGTGGGTAATACAAACTGGTTATTACATTTGGGGAAATACAAAACATCCTGGTCTCTCAGGATTCTCCAAGTGATTTTAACTGCCCAAAACACCTGAAAAATCTTTCATAACACACTCCCCCTAATCTGTTTAGCACACAACCCTACTTCTCCAATCCAGTACCCTTCCACTCTGCCATCACTTGACTTAAAAGTCACTTCTGTGCTGTTCTGAGGCTTTGCATTTCTCATGAATGCATACAGAGGAATGTTTATTGTAACAATATTTCTCTATGGGTATTCTTATATTTTTTTTCATTCTTTTCCAGTGACAAAATGTTCCCAGCCTTTGGATTTGGAGCAAGAATACCCCCAGAATACAAAGTAGGTGCATAAGTGTAATTTTCTAATTTCCTTGAGTTATGAGACACAAAATAAGGGAGAAATTGTGAAAGGCAAGGCAGTGGCAAACAGGAACAGCTCCTTTGCTTTGTTTTCTTCCATATGGCTTTCTCATCCAGTGATACCTCACTAAAACCAGAAATCAGACAGGGCTGGACTTAAAATAATTGTTTGATGACACCCAAAATATTTTATGGTTTTGGCAAAGCTTTGTTAGTGGATGCTAAGAGGAGAAATGATGTTTTGAGCATTCCTTGTCAAACATCTTTCTGAAAATAAAGATTTGAGAAGAATTTGGCAAAATTCTGTGTCGTAGTGGACACAGTCAATACCAGGAAGAGAAGTACAAGAGCATGTAGCCACACTAGAGAGAAGTGGGATTTATAAACAAAACAAAACAAAAACAATAAAAGAGAGTGATCTGCAGTGATGCTGCAATTGTGAGCATAAATGTGCCATCTGGTAGGCTTGGAGTGAAGACAGTGAAGTAAAAGAAGGAGCATCCAAACGAGGAGAAAGGCCCAAGAAGAAATAAGTAGAAATTAAAATCCTTTGCTTCACAGAGGTTGTGTGGGCAGAAGAGTAGTTCTGCATAGATAAGTAACCAAAATCTAGGTGGGCACTCTGAAACTCAGATACTGTCTGAAAAGGAGAAGCATTAGCATCTAATCCTGCAGACTTCATCCAGTGTCCCTGTGTGCCCTGCTCTGAGTTATGTCTCTGGGCTGTGGCTGAGGTAGGGAGGTGAACACAAGCCAGGTAAGAATTTCTGAGAGAGATTGTGTGCATTCAGCCTTGTAAGGCATCAATCAGCAGATGAAAAAAAATGCACCAGTGTGTTCCTCACGGCTTGTAGGCTTGATACTTGCAGAAGAGTAACAGTAGTGATGTACAGCAAATTTGATACAAGTTGTGCAAACAGACGTCTAAGGTAAGTAGTAAGTAATGTATGTTTTAACAACATTGCTTTCTCAGTTTGTCTGTGCCTGGCAAGGTGTTTTGCCTTGCTTTGTTCCTCAAGGGTAATACCAGTGTTAGTGCTTTCCAAAGTCAGAGATGTCTTCCAGAGCTTTGATATACATTTTAATGTGGTATTATGAGCTCAGAACATCTGTGTATGTTGTATGTTTGTCCAAATGCAGCAGCTGACAACCATCACTGTTATTTAAGGTGGTGTGTCAGGGCCTGTGAGGTGACCACTGGTGCGTGGGGGAAAACTTACAACTTTTCCAGTCACAGAGAGCCATCCTTATCTAAGGACTGCTTGAAGGAAAGTATTACTGTGTCAGCTGAAGTCTTTTCAGTAGTTTCCTGGTGACAGATAAAGATCCCAGCACAAAGCTGCTCTTCTTAGCCAAAATAATCAGCTGGTAGCACTGATGCTTCAGGTCACATGAGCCTATTGGCAACGTACCAGTTTTGTTAGACTCCAGTATCATCCTTCTCACCTGATTGTGAGAGCACATTTCAGGTGCTGGAAAACAGATGTCTTGCCAGAAACTAACTTCAGGGGTCTGTGTAACCAATTGTTCCTACAATCACCAACACCAATTGATTTTCTGCTTTGGCAGAATTAGTGTTTGGATAATTTCCTCACAAGTGCCCTTAAGAAACTCAGAGACTTGCATTGAACTTAGTAGCCCATGCACGAATGAAGAGTCTTATCCTGTAGCATGAGCTCTCCTGAACAATCTGTCTGTTGCTAACTTCTCAAAGCAAGAAAATGAATATGACTCAGAACCTGCAGATTTTGCAAAGTTCAGGAAAAGTAAGAGTAAACTTCAGAAGGTGGGGCTGCTTGCCTGTGGATTACATATGTGTGACCGAATAAAACAAATCCCAAAGTAAATGGAGATGCAGGTGAAGGCCAGAACAACATCTTTAATCTCTGCTATGGAAACTTGTGCCAGAAAGTGACAAAGACAAAATGACATGACATCAGCTGACAAACATAATAAAACTTTGAAGAAGACAAGAACCACATTGCAGGGGACTAACTCTTCTGTGCCACAGATGGGGACAAATAATCAGCTTGGTGTCTGTTATGGGCACATCCAGCTGGAACCACATAAGGAGTTATCTGAGCTGTAGTTCAGTCCCTCCCTGTGATACTCTACAGTCCATAAAAGTATCTGCCTTCTTAAAATAAACTATATCAATACTTTTGGGTCCCTGATTGCCTTTGACTGCACTTCTGAATTCAAAGATATGTCCTTCAAGAGTGAAGAGTCACCTTCATAATGATGCATTATTAAGACCAGTAAACGTGAAAATCCTTCAGTAATTTAGTCTACACTGGTATAAAGTTAATTCAACTCCAAAAATTATTAGGTTTTGATGTGGAACATAGCAAAGATGCATAGGAAATGGAGAAGAAACAGATAAAATTAAAAGTAACAGAGACTGTAGGAAAAAGTGCTCCCAAGTTTCTTCCTTAACTTCTGATTTCCTGCTGCAAAAATATGGAAACATGCTAGACACCACAGCAACAGTGGAGATCTCATGCTATTCAAATGGCCTTTTCATGTTTTCAGTCACAGGTACTACAAGTTATACATACCATACATTTGTTTTACTCAAGAAGAGCAGTGCCACTAGTGTAACAATTTTACATCTTCAAATTTAGGCTCAATAATTATGAGAACTTCAAAGTTCTGACTCCATCATCTGGATAAATCAGCTTCTCATTAATGTAGAGTGTCGTTTTCAAGCCTCCAGTCCTAATGAGGTGATTTAACCTGCTCATAGCATGTTGTTCTCTGCAGTCCAGCATCTGGTATTTTATTTCTTTCAGTAGACAACAAATTGAAATAGGGCTATGGAAGAAATCGCTCCCACTGCCAAGGGTTCCTAAGTAACCATGCAGCCCCCATACAACCTAAATAACAAAGCTTCCTTCCTCAGCAATGTCAGTTTCTATCTCTTCAGGCTCTTCACAAATCTCTTGATGTTCTACCCCTTTAAATGTTGGTTTTATATATGTTTTCTACAGAATTTCCATTTCAAGAGCACACTGCTGTGTTGTGTTGACTTTATTTTCCCTCAGTCCACCTCCAAATGACACACTTCAGCAGTTAGTAGAAAACCAGCAGTTTCTTAGTGGCACCAGGAATCTGTGAAAGTGAAGGAAGCAAGACATGCCATATACATCATTCTTCATCAGTCTGGAGATCTTTCATCTAATATTCAACAATATGAGCTTCTTCCACCAAGACCTGACAAACACATCACCCTGTTCCTTGATCTAAGTAAACCTCTGAGAGAAATATTTCCCTTGTGAGTATCTATCATACAAAACTTCTAGAATTTTTTTTCTTGTGGTTCTTTTCTTTTTTTTGCAATGAAAGGAAGCATCTGAGAAGTCTGATGTAAAATGAAGAGGTGGTAGATAATATGGACTCAGACACAGCTGTGAAAGGTCACAGTGAAGAGGAGGAAAGAAAGCAAACCACACACACTTAGCAGGCAGGACTCAAAGGAGATGAAAAACCACACAGCAGCACAAAACTTACTGTTAAAATGAAAAGCAAGTTCAAATAGTGTCAGCCCCATGACAGGTGGATTGCCATTAATGAAGGCCTGTTTCCTAAAGGAGAATTGCAGCTGACACCCAATAGGTACTAAACAACTTGCAGTTTGTTTTAAGAGAGTTCAGGTTATTTCTGTATTTTCAGTGAAAGCTTCATTCCCTGCTTTTGCTGTGAATGTGTGCTGGAGACAAACTCACTGCAGTTACAGACACAAGGCAGCATCTTTACAGCCCTAGCCTGCGCTGGTTTGTTGGACAGGTGAGAGATTTGAGAAGTGCTGTGGTTTTTATGATTCCTGCACTTTTCAGGAGATTGATGCCTAAAATATATGCAAACCTGACCAAAAAAAAAAAAAAAAAAGGATTTTTAGCAGACCAAGGGACAAAACATAATTAGTCTCCTTATCCATGCAAGTTGGATTTAGACACGGAAACTTGGGCAGCATGTACAAAAATGAAGTATAAAGGGAAATAAATGGCCCAGCTTTGCCAAGCAGAAATATGTACAATGTATCTTAGCAAGAAACACAAGCTTTCCAGCTCCCAAGCTATTTGATTAATGAGCATTCTGAAAATAATAGCTTTTGACCAAAAGTACTTGAAATTCATTAGTGTCTTAAGCTTTTGCAAAATATGCAGGCATTTCATATTCAGTTTTCTGAATGACAGTAGCTTAATAGCATTCAATTTATTCGCAGATAAGTGTCCAACATAGTGCATTTTGGCATTTACACTTGTATGCATCTATTGTTCATGGATTTTTGACAATCTCTATTTAAATTATTAAGAAAGCATTCCTAAAAATCTGAATTTGTCAGAATGTTTGTCAAATACTTCTAGTACCATCACCATAGAGAAAAGCTGGAGCTGTTTGGGACACGAAGGTTAATTTCAATTAATTCAACAATTTAAAGAGGGGGAAAAATAATTATTAATTTTCAGAATTCAGGCATCCATATTCATAATTTGAAAATAAAAAACATAGCTTCTTTTTTTTTCAAAATGGAAATTCAGTTAAAGGGGTTTAAGGAATGTATAGGCCAAACTAGAATAACAAGTTTCAATGAAACTTAAATAAAATGCCTTTGCACAGTATAAAAGCTTTCCAGCAATTTGCTTTATCAATGTTGGGGGACTTAATATTTTTCAGATTTCAAGGTAGGATTTTTGTTTGTGATTTGAGGTTTCTATCTGAATTCATAGAATATTTTTTTAAGAAATCTCAAAAATTCTCATCAACTAGGAAATTCTCCTTTCCTTTCAGCCTAAATTAGAAATGTTTTTAGCAAGGGCCATGCTATGAGGATGAATTTTATCGCATCCCAATATGAGGGAAATAAGTTACCTGCTGTGTTAAATCAATGCCATTTTTTCTACAAAAGTGGCCATAAGCATGTGGAAGTATCATTTTGATTATTCCAAGAGTCTCATGGGTGCCATCACATTGATGGAAAACTGCAGGTGTTTGTCACTGTATATGTACAGACAGTGGAGGAGGCATTGTACAGTGGTAAAAAACAACATTTCTATAACCTATCTTAGCAAAACTATTCTGTACTGCTTATTTAATTGTCATATCCTCAGAAATGCTGTCACTGTAATCTATATCATAATATACGGTAGAGCTAGTTAATTTGCTTGTTAAAAACCTTGAAGGAATTACCTGTGAAATAGTATGCTCCTGGTGTAGGAAGTTCCTGTAGTTTGATAATGCCACATCCATGATGGTATCTGCTAAAGAATGAATCTGGAGCCCTGCAGAGGCAAAAGATTCATGCAAGTGCAAGTGAATGTCTTTAGCTGCAGGCTTTGAGTGCAGTTCTGTGCAGCAGCCCAAGTAACACCAGGCTGATTCCATGTAATCATCTCAGCATGCCAGCATTTCTCTCTCCTTCCCTTTTATGGATTGATGTTAAGAGAGGAGGGCTGAGCAGAGGGTCAGCTTCATATCTGAAACTTAGTACAGGGTTACAAAAACTTAGTCCAGTCACAAAACACTCAGGGTTTTATGAGGACATTCCTTAATGTGAGGCTGACTTCCACCAAAGGCCATGCTCTGCAGTTCTTGGCAAAGTTCTCTGTGCCAGGTACTGATGTAAAGCAGCCATTCTGTATTTGTGTGACTTGACACATTCCAGGATTTCCTGACTGTTCGATCAATCCACAATACAAACCACCCTGGTAAATTATATAAACATGCCTGCTTCTGAACAGCCAAGGGTCTTCTTGTTTCCACTGAGGATTTCTCAGTCTTCAGCATCTTAGGTGTTCAAACTTTTGCCTCCTTTTTGTCATTCGTTTATTAGTTCTGGGAGTGTCATTCAAGGGCTGTGTCATTCAATATGAGAAAGATGCCATTGAATATACCAGCTTTTGATTCTCTGAGATCAGCATGGTTTGCCCTTCAGTCACAAAGCCCCTGCATGTTTAATTAAAAAAAGGAAAAAAAGAAAAAAAGGAGGGAAACTCATCACCTTGCACTGTTTGGAAAGCAAAAGCATTGAATGTCTGATCCAAACCACCTTTTGACATGTATGAGCTTTACATGGAGTCCTACCAGGTAGCAGCCCAAATTTAGGAAGGCCTTCAGTATGTGGTATAAGTCTGAAGTCTCTGCTGGTTTGGACACTCTTGAGTTCTGGCCACCACAGGGAAGACAGCAAAGGGGCAGGTTGAAGCACATTTGGCTTTGCTTAACAGAGTGGGAGATGAGTTCTGAGCATTTGGAGAAGCTCTGTTTAAAACATATCTGCTGTTGCCTTGCCTCGAGTGATGATTTCCTGTTTGTGAACCATCACTGAGCTGCTAAAAATATTTCTCTCCTTCACATTATACTTAAATCTTGTTTAAATTGTGATATATTACTCAAAGAGCATAGGAAACAAGCCAATGCTTCTGCACATTCATTGTGTTTCCTGTGCTGCCTTCAGGGTACATTTTAACACTGCTCTGTGAATCAGGATGACAATGTATGAGGGCCATTTGCTTTAGGAGGATAGCAGCTGATGCTCAGACAGTATTATTTTTTGGATCATTGTGCAGGCTGACTAGACTTGGGCTTTCCTTATTGGCCTGAACTGTTGCCTGTTAAATAATAGCCTGGGTGCCATAGCTCTGAACCAGATAAATTGTTTGCATTATGTGATAAGAGGTATGGCAACAAAAGCAACCCAACCATGCTTGCATGTGAGATTGAAATACTGTATTCGTAGCTTTTGAAAATACTTGTATTTTCCTTTAGGTATAATTTCAAATGCATTTGGAATAAAGAAATAGAATCACTGAAGAGGCACAGTGTTGGAAGAATCAGTCTGCAATACATAAACATGCATTGCCATCCTTCTTGCTTTTCTAACACAGTTAATGCAAAATACAGAATCCCTAAAGGAAAGAAAAAGGCTAATGAACAACAACAAAAAATATCAATGCGAAAACTCCCATAACAGTTCTTGACAGATGCAATTACCTTTGGCCTGCAGCTGGTCATGAGACTGGCAGATACCAGCTGGGCAAAGTGCACTGAGAGACATCCAGAGCAGCCAGGCAGAAGGGCTCTGGAGCACCTCTGAAGTGTGTCTGGCAGCCCTGATCTTCTGTGCTGCTCAGTGGGGAACATAAATAGTGACTTCCTGCATTATCTTCCATGGCCAAGTAGAATGTACTGAATAGACCCTGTAAAACCCTCAGTAAGACTGATGCTTGGTGTAGACATGCTGAATGCCTGGCTGGGCTGAGGCAACTGCAGTCTTCTCAGTGAGGTTTTGCTTCAGTCCTTTCCCATCATGGTAGAAGAACTGCTTTATTTAACCTCTTAATAATGGCAGGCATCATTGTGGTAAGCAAGACTAGCATGTGATGGGGAAATTCCACTTCTCTAGGAAGAACTCTCTTTGGCAATAATTAATCAACTTACACCACTTCACTTTCACAGAAGCTTCTCTGCAGTCACATATTTCATCTGTGGGTCCCTTAGTCATAAACCAATTTCCATAGCCTGCTGTGGAGACATCTAAACTAGCAAATCAAACAGCAGCATCCAGAAAACAAATCTCTTCCTGCAAATAATCCTGGTTCCATTGTATTAGAGGTTGCTTTCCATATCACTGGGACTGTTGGCACTTTTGAAGACCCTACAGAGATCTATAAAGCTTTAAATGTGTATAATTCCAGTTATATAAATGCCTTTTTAAATCTGGGATGATACACCTAAATTCAACTTCAAATTATGCAAATTACCTGCTAAACTCTCAGCCACTTTTTGCAAGTCAAATATATATATAGATACACACACACACATATGCATATACATGTAGAGAGATATATATATAAACATATATGTATATTCACACATTATGCATTGTGAGACAAAATCTGAGCTTTTTCATTCAAGAAAAATTAAGACAAACAGAATTAAGAGGCTAGGCTTCAGACCCAAAGGATTAAAAGGAATCAACACTTTTCAATGATCAAAGAAAGAAGTAAAAAGGAATATGAAAAAAAAAATGCAGGCAAGAATCAACCTTAAAGAGGAATTCTGGAACTGGAGATTTACAGTGTCTAGCACTATTTAAGAATACAAAAGTCTTATATTATTTTCCCAGGGCACCAAAGACAAGATACTTTGTTTTGTTAGAAAATCAGCTACTTTGTTGTATTCACGGTAAATTCTTTTAAAAAACAGCTCTGCAGGATTTAATGATAGATTGAGAAACAGACAGAGAGCAAGAGAGAGATTGGAATATTCACCACATGCAAGGAAAACCAAGAGTCTTCAGGATTTTTTTTATTTATTACCCCCCAGAATACTCTTAACATTTTAACCAACTTAGACTCTTTACACTTTTTACACTAATATTGCACAGTGGATCCTTGATTTCTCTGTAAAATTACTTTCCCAGTACTCCTTGGCCTTAGATGAGGAACTGTTCACACAGTGAGGTCAGGATGCATAAATGAGCTGAGTTTCTGCAGTCACTGCTGTATCACAACCTGCTTTCTCTCTCCTGCAGTCTGAGATGCTGAGTTAGGGAGAGCTGGCATTTAAATGGCCTCAGCAATGTTGTGCCCAGCATTGATAGCCCAATCCTGACACCATGTTTATATGATTTTTAAATGTATTTGGGTGGGTTTTCTTCATGCCTTTTTTTGCTTTGTTTTGTTTTGTTGCTGTTGTTATTGACCAGTTTGATTCCAGTTTTGCTACTTTGGTTCTGCAGGGAGCTCCAGCTGGGACTGTATTTCACACTTAACAGCTGAAAGCTTGAAAGATCTCCAGTTTACCACAGAAAAAATGTCAAGAGTTTTTAACCACAAGTCTTCTTGGAATAATTTTTCTGACAACAGTCTTCTTTTCTTTCTATTTATCTGCAGGTCTCTCATGACTTCGCAATCAATTTCAATGAAGACAACCCAGAATGTGCAGGTAATGCTCACAGAAGGACAGACTGCCATAGTTTTGCTCTGTGCAAAATGCGCATTTTTTTATTGCATCACCTGAGTATTATTCAAAGTGGTTTTATTAAAGAGGGCAGCTAGGATTTGGGGACCTGACAGGCACCAAACCATTGATCTTAACTTTGGAAATCTTTGAAAGTGCCATACAATAATTTCCTGAATTATTAGTAGGTGGACATTCAGCACTTGGACTTCCTGGAATCACTTGCCTTTCTGAGAAGTAGACTAATTTAAAATCTTCAGCTACCTCAGCATCATAGGTTGTGCTGCAAAGAAGGATATGAAAAAGCAGGCTGTGAACCTCTGTGATCAAAAATTTCCTCAGTTTAGAGCCAGTTCTTCGACCAGACCTATAGCCTGCTGCAAGTCAAGGGCAGGGAAGCAGCTGATGACTATTGTGGTAGAAAGAAACCTATTTTCCTGAGAGCAAATGCAGCAGGAGGCTACAGTGTAAGATATTGCTATTGTTCTACCAATAGTCATTAATCCTTGGTAATCAGAGGCCAGATTTATGTAGCAGATGTTACTCTATGTCTTGTATTTGCAAATGAGATCTGCAGTGACTGATGCTGTCTTTTAAAATCTCCTGCCACAATTCACACATTTTGTAAAAGACAATAACAGGAAAATGACCTCTAAACCCAGTAACAGTTATGAGTCTTGCTCAAGTGATCACTGCTATCTAAAATCGACAGGTTGTTATTCCCCCTTATCCTTCTGCTTCCATCCAAATACTGAACTGGATATTTCAAAATGCTCTTCCTGTTCAAATTTTCTAGCTGCTCCTTTCAGCCCTTCTCAGGCTTATTAGTGGCTTTCTTTTGGGCATGGGCAGCAAACATGTTCAGGATGAGAACTAAGATGTAGAGAAATGAAGTGAGGAAAAGAAGAGAGGACAAGCAATTCAAGGGAGAGAGACATTAAAAGAATTCAGAGTTCATGCATCTTAAATGCAAGACCTGGTTTTGGTTCAGTGGTCATTCCTGCTTTGTTGTTGCACTTGAATTGTTGGATTGCCCCAGCCTTTGCAGGTCATGTGCTTGAAATGCAATTGGGCATAAGTCCTGCAGCTGCCTGATGTGCTCACACGGCTCTTTACAGTGCTTTTAAGGAGTTGAAAGGAGCAGAAGTTACATGTATGCATCTAGAAGTGCTTGTAAGCTTGTAAGCCAGCTTGATGTTGAGACTTCAGTGTGGGGATGGAGTGGGGAAACAAAAGAAACCTCAGCATTCCATCTGGATCATCGTATTTAATAATGTGTCATTAAAACAGTTAACAGTGGTCAGCATTAGGTGATAACATATTTACGTGTGTAGTGTTCAAAAAGAGCTTGTTTCTCAATCTAACTGCAGGATATTTGTGACCCTTTGTAAACTACAGAGAAAAGCTCTAGCAGTCCATGCAAAGAACACTTATTTTTATCCCCCGCCCTTGCTTCTTCTTTTGAATTAAAGGCTAATTCTTTTATCACACTGCCATTGTTATATAATGATTTTTATTGACTGAAAAGGCTGCTGGCACCAGATCTAGGTGGTGCCAGCAGCACAGTCTGGACAGACAAACCCTCTGTAAGCAAGGGATTTACTATCCAAACCACACTCTGTGTGCAAAACTAAATGCAACAATGGAAATGAAAGGGGGTAAAAAAACCAGGAAGGAGCTGCTCTATGAGGCTTTGCTTATGTCACTTAATAATTTAAACTGTATTTGTATCTTTGCATAAGACTCAGTTATCTGCTGAGTTAGCCCATTGGCTGAAAGGAGTTCTAAGCCTAAGAAAACATAAAAAAGTTGTTGCAACATGAAAGAATACCAGAGAAGAAATTTTGCAGCATTTGCACCTGTATCTGCAGGATATTAAAAGCACTTATTTATCTAAAAGGATACCTTTTTAAATAATATCAACCTGGGTGAAAGCAAGAAGGGGACACAAACCACAAAATGTGTTGTTTATTCCTCTGCTGCAGCTTGTTCATCTGCCTGTCATGGGTGCTTGTTAGTTCTGTGATATTTTCTAGATGCTCTCACTGTATTAGGTGTCACAGGGAACACTAACATCAGCAAGTCATGTGGAGAAAGGATGCAAGAGTGAGAAGGAGATAAAGTGCTTAGTGATTACACTATTTTACCTTGTAATATCTAGCATACTTGCCAGAAAATAAAGTTGCTTAAGAATATCTTGTTTTAAACAAAGAAACAGCGGTTGGATGTGATTTAAAAATGTATGTGTTTATTTTCCCTTTGAGGAATGAAATCCTTTTCTCTGTGGAAGCAGAGCTTTTTCTGGCACAAGGTAGTGTGAAGCATCACTCTACATACAGGGACAGACAAATATTGATATGCAGAGCGTTGGAATTCATAAAATATGGATATCCTCACCTGTTACCATTTCCGTTCTTGAAAATTTTAGTATTTATAGTATTATATTTTGTATATTTGTAGTATATAATTTTATAGTCTTAAAATTAATACTTAGTTTATTATCTGAGGAAGAAAGTAGGCAAAAACCTCTAGTCTGAATGAATGTTTCTGCACATCTATCTTAAACCCATATATGTATGCATACACTGTATTTCATTGGAGATGCTGAAAGTGGATTCCAAATAAAAATGTAAAGAGTTGAACTGTAAAAAAAAAAGCACACATGCCTAAGATAAAGGAGTACAAGAACATCAAGCTACAAAGTAATCCTCACACATCCTGTTGAGTTGGGATTGGATAGGCAGTAGATATTTCTAAAATATATTAATCTGAGAAATCAAATAAGAAATTATATTTCTAGAACATGTCTCTTTCTAAGATGAGAGCAACTTTCTGACATGAACAACACTAAATCTCTGTGGAATGCAGGGAGTAAGTTTTATCTTACATTATTTTACTGCATAAGAAGAAAAGTATGGTGTATCTTGTCACCATCTTAGGAAAGATTTATGAGGCCTTCATGCAACATCATTAAGTATATGTAATGAAATCCTTAGCAAGTTTAAAATTGGGAGTTACCAAAAGGTCAGTTTTGCAATATGCAATTTAGTCATTGGAATTACCAAGGGACATTTTGTAACACTACTTTACATTTCAGCCAATGCAGCTATAATTGGAGCAAGTACTTTTGTTTGTTGGCACTGCAGTGGAAAAATATATCTGTAGCTATCTCTAAAGACAGAAAATGGTGTTCTCCACCACTTTTTCATAGGAGTGTATGTGTGTCATTATAAAACAATTACAACTCCCTGTCATTTGTTAGCAAAAACTCTGCACCCATCTATCCTGTAAATATGGTTGGGTAAAAAAATCTCATGAGTGAGCGAGTTTCCCTGCAAACTGAAACTGGCTTAGAATCTTACCAAAGCTATTTCATTCTTCAGCATCCTTTGCAAAGCTTTTCAGTCTATCGCTTTCTTTCCAACATTAGACCTCTAATCCTTTAGGTCTGGTAAGCTGGGAGTTCTGAATGGGGAGGCTAATGTGCATCACTTCAAGAAATCCTTCTTCTCAATGATTGAAAATACCAATTTCCATTCTGTGATCTGTCAAGTGTGTCAGCAAAGAAGTCTTTGCTCCCTGGTCTCACTATATATCCTGAAATGAAAAAGCCAAAAATAGCTAGTTCTCCATCAAAATTTCTCAGCTGAAGCTCATTTTTCTGTAGGCTGCAAAGCATCCTGCTGTTTCTTTCAAGGTTTCACAGCTTTTGGTCATAGTCAAATTCAACCTATGAGTGATTATGCAAATTAACCCTGAAAAATTATTTTCTTAGCACAGGAGAGTGAAAAGATGTTTTGAATTCCTTAACAGCTTTAGGGCATAAGTACAAAGGACAAATTTGTTGGCAACAGCCATGATAAACAAAAATATTTATCTGAAGAGGAGAAATAATTGTTTAAGTGTTTCTTAATGTGTGTTTAGACTTTCATCATGAATCTTAGTTGTTGATCAGGAAGCTATCATATCTTAAACTGAGAAGAATGGAAGCTGTGGCATTGCAAGCTCATACATGAAAAATAGACATTAAAAGCTGCTGGAAAGGAGAAGCATGGTATAATAATTATATATTACAAACTAGATTTAAGACAGCTAGAGACAGATTCCTGGAAATTATCTTAAGATTCTAGTCCTTGCTTGTCATGTAGTATTTTTAATTTGTTCATTAAGAACCTACCTTTCATTTACATTTTGAACAAGCCTGATATAGGCAATGTGCTCCACATTTCTTTTTCTTTTTTTGGTTTTTCATGCCAGGAATACAAGGTGTTGTGGAAGCTTATCAGAGTTGCCTTCCCAAGCTGCAGCTGTACGGACCGACAAACATTGCTCCCATCATCCAGAAAGTGGCAAAATCTGCATCAGAGGAGACCAACACCAAGGAGGCCTCGGTAAGGGAAAAAAAACCTGTGTTTGCCTTTTTTTCCTTGTCTGATGATGGATCTCTTGTAGGCCATCAAGGCCTTTTAATGCAGATTGCACCTTACCAGTTTTTATTAACTGCCTTCACTGAAGGCAGCTTAAACCTCTGTCAGCTGGAACAGTGTATCCAGTCTTTCTAGCTTTGATTGTCACAGCTTTAAACTCTTTCCCCACTGATCTATTTCCTGCTTTTAGGGCTGTTTCACTGTAGCACACCCAGTTCTTCACTGTGGAAATAGAAATGGTACTACTAAGGTTACAAAAATTGAGTATTGAAGCCCTAAAAGTCTTGGTTGTACCACGAGATGAGTTCAAATGATTCCCAGTTCAGACTATCCAATTTCATATCTCCTGCACAGGCTGTACTAAAATTTTTTGTTCACCTAGGGAACTTTTCCAGCAATTCATTTGAAAATGGTAAGGATACAGTTTCCAGCTTGTTATTACTGATCAAGTAATTTGTGCCTTTTAGAAATTGGAAGACAAATCTGTTATCCTGCACCTGATAAAAACACTAGGACAGATTTCTCGAGATAAAAGACTTACATATTGATCATGTTTTAAATGTACACTCTTGAGATGCATTAAGTTTATTTTGATCCTGTTTTCAATACAGAATGGGAGAAAGGGAGAACAAGAGAAATGGATCGAATATGTGAGCGAGTAGGTCTGAGCCATTTAGAAGAGCAGTGCTGTAAAGGAGTAAGGGATGTAAGAGAGACACTGTGTACTGCAGCACAAAAAGTGCCTAAGTACAGAACAAAATAGAGCTGTGCACTGGCATGTGCATGATCACCTGGCCTAGAGCGTTCTCTAAGCTTTCTTCATGTGCTGGGCCTTTTTTAAGTCAGCACTTCTAGGGCAGCAGTTATCAAATATTTCTGTTCACGAGTCTGGGCTTGTGACTGATATTTACAAGAGCATGTAGTGACAGAACGAACGGTAATGGCTTCAAACTGAAAGAGGATAACTTTAGAATAGATATTAGAAAAAACTCTTTACTGTGAGAATGGTGACACACTGGAACAGGTTGCCTGGAAAAGCTAAGGTTACCCCATCCCTGGAAATGTTCAAGGACAGACTGGATGGAGCTCTGAGCAACCTGGTTTAGTGGAACTTCTCCCTGCTTCATCATCTGTTCCGCCTAGATGATCTTTAAGGTCCCTTCCTATCCAAACCATTCTGTGATTCTGTGATTCCACTGATGTTTCCAGAATCTTGATAGTATTTAGGGTTCCAATCCTAAAATAGGGAATTGCTATGTCTGAATTTCCATACCCACCTAATCCTGAGGTGGCTCACTCTATTCCCAGTGTTGCTCCTGATCTAATATGCCTTACTGAATAACTTCCTTCATTCTATAACTAAGCTTTCCCCTTTCTATCTGAATAACAATTTATAGTATGAATGTTCAAGATTAAGTTTTCTCCCTGCATGTTTTATTTGTGGCAGGACAAGATGATTGCAACACTTTGAGGTTTTACCACTGTATGCACCTAAATATTATTAATGTTTAGTGTGTTGGTATTGCTCATGCAGAGTGACCAAATCCTATGATTTGTTCATTTTTCCTATTAATGCACTATAAATTTCTTATAAATTACTTCAGCTGCCCAATTATTAATAAAGGATTCAAGTAAGGGCCACTCTTCTCCATTACCAAGTCATATGTCATAGCTCATGATCCCAGTTCAGTGGGCTTTGCAGATTTGGGAGAGAAATGACAAGCTAACCAAATTGCTTGCTCTCCTCTGGAGAATGAGAAAGCCTCTCTTTGGGGCTCTGTATGAAGAGTATGAAGATGGATATATTCCTGCCTTGCTCTCCTCAGAGACCCCATTACTCTGCAGAGGAGAAATTAGTAGCTGAGGAGTTTGGAATAGAAAATTCTATATAGTCAATAAAAAGGCTCTTTTCTCTTTAGAAAGGTCCATGAGTGAGTTACCAGAAACACTTTTATACTTTTTAACTTAAAAGGTTAAGCAGCTTTGGACTGTTAACTAACTACACAATTTTTCCCTTCTTGTTCAACAACTTCAGCAATACTTCATCCTGCTGATCCTGACGGACGGGGTCATCACAGACATGGCTGACACCAGAGAGGCCATCGTCCACGCCTCCCACCTCCCCATGTCAGTCATCATCGTCGGAGTGGGCAACGCTGACTTCAGTGACATGCAGATGCTGGACGGTGATGACGGCATCCTGAGGTCTCCCAAAGGCGAGCCAGTGCTTCGAGACATTGTCCAGTTTGTGCCATTTAGGAACTTCAAACATGTAAGCTGGTTTTTCCATCCTTGCCACAGAAGGGTGAATGGGTATAGTGAATGATTCATGAGGCTGGGCTCAGCTTTGCATATGCATGAAGGGTTGAGTAAGTCTATGGCATTATTGTGTCAGAAATAGTGAAAAAGAAAGGAATCAGAACATGTTCCATTACTGAGTTGGTGAGGGTGGGAAAGGAAGTGATGAGGCACAATCCCTGTGCTTTTTGTGGTGCCAGTCCTTGCTTCCACTTTCTGCCTGATTTAATTTGGTTACTTTCCCTGCTTTATTTTTCCTTGTGTCTGTTTTCCATTCTCTTTTGCATCTGTTCTATTAGAACTACTGTATTCTGCTTTCCATTCCTTCATTTCTTTAGGCAGATGAAATGGCTTTGAATTTGTCCTCACAGTGTTCCCCAGGAGGCTTTTTCTTTATTGAGGTTTGATCCCTGAGTTCTCAAATGCAGGACAATCCACCCACAGCATCCTGGTTACCTCCAAACCCTGTCCCAAATTCTGTACAAGAACACAGGCAAGAAAGTGCCATTACTGAGAGCTTCTCTCTGCCCTCAGCCAGCTGTTTCTGACTGAGGCCAGTGTGGTGTAGAAGACACTCTAGGAAAGAAAGGAGCAGAACCAGCATTAAATTGCCAAATCTAAAGTAAAGCTTTGGTCATGAACTTTTCTTCTCAGTCTCCTGCCCTGCACTGTACCATCTGTTCCAGGGACTTTTCAGCAGCAGGGTAGGCACAGCATTCACCAGCAGAAGGGGCTTTCCCACACCCAGAGGGGTTTTTCAGAGCCCTTTTCCTCCATATGGAGGCATGCATTATGTTCCTCTGCAATCCTGTTCCCATCCCTTTCCTTCGCTTTCTCCATCTTTCTCTCCCTTCTTTCCTCTCACTTCTGTTACATTTATTTGGTTCTCAAGACTGGTTTTTTGCTCTGTCTAGGAAGGATATCCTCAGTATTTGATCTGAGATTTTTTTTACCTCACAGTGCAACTGACTCATTCTCCGCATGAGATTGCTCTTTTCAATCTGCTCCCATACACTAGAGATCCTTAGATTTGGATATGTCACAGCCAAGTTCTCAACTCTGGGCTGGTTTTGATCTGCATATGGGTTTGCACTGCTTACATTTCTTTTTAAATTTAGCTCCTCTCTTGGTTTTTCTGTGATTTTTGTCACTACATGAACTTTTTTTTTTTTCTGTTTGCTACTTCTAAAATACCTTAATTTTTCTCTTTGCAAGGGTTGTTCTTTTTTTCTCATTTCAAAATGCTATTTTGCAATATTTGCCTTAGATCTATCACACAAACTCTACTGAGGAGCAAGAGAAACAAACTTGTTCCTTAGTTTCCTTCTAGCTTTATGTAAGCCATGGATGCACACAGGAGGGAGAACTCACCTTATGCTATTAGTTTGGTGCCACCATGCCACATAGCTGCAGATTGACTACTGAGTTGTAGACACTCACATTTCTGTGCTGACAGGGGCAGACAGCCACCTACCTGCTGAATCAAAGTATGAGCACAACCACCTCAGAGCTTGTGATTCTTTCAGCACATAATCACAAGTGTGTAGCGCTGCACTGTAGTCATTGGAAAAGTGTCCAGAGCTGAGTTATTTATGGGCTAGTGGGAGAGCTACTTTTAATTAGGTGAAAACATGTTTCTGCAAGGAACTGGCAAAGCCAGCTACATTTGTTATTTTTAGTTTCACTTTGTTTTTTATTATAAAGCTAAAATCATCCTGGGTTTAATAGATTAACGCAGACAGTTGCAGTTCTGGGCTCTAAATATATTGTGCCCCTGGTGTTAACTTGTGACTGAATCTGTGGCATTGTTATTGCCAGAACTGGTGAAATGACAAGCATATATTCTTTTTAGCTGATTTAGATTAACTTCCCCAGGACTTGGAGACAAAAGCAATCTTTATGTATTCTTCTTGTTAAATAGCGATATTTTTCTCCCTCTTTCAGTAGCAAAGATAATATAGGTATAGAGATAGATTTGTATTTGCTCTATCAGAAAAGTTAATATATCTTATACAACCTGATATTTAGTCTGTTTATTGTCATCTTTCAGCTTTTCAACAAATGTCAGTGTAATGGATGACTGCCCATAACAATAGTCACTTCTGGTTGAATTTCTTTATTGTCATATCCCAAATAATCTCTCTCTCTCAACAAAGTGACATTCACATCTTCCTTGCTTATTTAGCACTAACAAAAGACCATACATCAGCTAGTGAAATAATTTTTCATGGGAGAAATGAGTGTGATGTTTTGATTCAAATTTATTTTTCCCCACAGAGGAAATGCAGATTTAACACATTTGGGAGATTTTTGTTAGATGAGTTCTGACCAAACACAAGAATTTACATACATCAGCATATTATTTTTGACAGCTTGAAGCAAAATACATGTTTAGGTAAAAATCCCATTCCTTTTGTCAATGTACCTTGTGTTAATTTATTAAGTAGAAAAAAAAAAGTTGAAAGATCTTTTTAGAAAGATTAAAAATCAAATTGTATAAGGTTTATAGGTTTTTCTGATAAATCAAGTATTTATTTATTCCTAAATCCATATTATATCTATTATGACAGAAGGAGAGAAGAAAATGTTATGCCTGAGCATTTATTTTTTTGTTTTGCTGGAAGAGTAAACCAAAATTCCCTTGGAGTCGACCCAAGCAATATTTTTTTTCATTACTTCTATTCTCAGGTCAGCTTGGAACTCAAAATCTCATATCTATCCAAAGAGATCAAAAATAATCTGTGCAAAACCTTCCCCTTTGAGAAATGGAAGGGGGGGAGAAGGAAGTTGTAAAAATAATATATAGACTGAATCCCTTTTATTTTATAAGTTTGACTTCAGAGAAGGTTTTGAGCCTGCACAGCACTCAAAGAGGCATTTAACACATTTTAATTAGTTATTCACATACCTAAAATCTTATACCCACATCAATGTTTTACTGGCTTAAGACTCAGTGTAGACAGCAGGCTCTATTATAGGGGTTTCATCTCCTGTGTGATACAGTGCAGCAGAAGTACTTCAGTAAAACATTTAAGCTCTTTCTCTCTCTCTTTAAGGAGTATCTTTGAAGCCATCAAAATAATAATAGCAACTGTAGTGACTCTTGGCAAATCCTATAGTTTGTAGTATAGTAGAGGCTTGATAAAATCAAGGTAACCATTAACACTTAAAACATGTCCCATTGTATAGTGGGTGACATATGCCATTCACTAAAGGGGAACATATCAAACAAAGGAAACAGATTTTCCCTGAACCCACGTGACTTTTTTCTCTCTGTAATCATCACCACCCCAGTAATGTGAGTGTCCTTCACCTGAAACTATAAAACAGTGATGTTCCATCACTGAAACGCCATTGAAGAAAATCACCTGCCTCAATGCATTCACAGTCCTATTTTAAGAAATGAAATTTTCTGCCTTTGGGATGTATGATATATTTACTGGGCACAAATCTGATGCCACAGGTAGATTGTATTCCATTCTTCATTGTATTTAATCACAAAGGTTAACAGCTGTGATTTAATAACATACATCACAACGGAGTGTGGAAAGCACAGCTCATAATCACTGCAAGGAGCAATGTTTTGCACTATGCATTGTAGTTAAAGGTTAAGCATTGTGAAGCTAAAGAACTGAACTAACACCAATTATGGAATCACAGGGGATTATTTTCCTGCTGCTGACTGATCTCACTGTTGTGTATCAGCTATCAATTGATAACTATTCATCTGAGGTGCTTATTGATAGAATGCTCTTCAAGCAGTGGAGAAAATGTTACAGTAAAATATTAATTTAATGTCCCATCTGTGGTAAAGACCCAGCAAAGGCAATCTTTTCACAACACTGATGAACTGGGTCTGTGTTTTGGTTTAGAAGTTACTGAGTGTAATTCTCACTGATGAAAATGCTGCTTTGCACCATCTGATCTGCAAATGAGAGTGCTTTACCACCACAAAAAGTATGTAAGGTACAGGTGGTCCAAATCACCAGAGAGGAAACCAACCCCAAGCCTGTCTTTAGGATGTTCCCTGCTAGAAAGAGCCCCAGGACCAAGAGACATCACTGGCATGATAAAACTCAGTTATGCAACAGTTGCCCATGCTCAGACTGAAGTACGGGTCAAGCCAGCTACCCCAGGGCAATCCCGTGTGGGGCACATATTGCCTGTGAGCCTGTGGGCACAGTAAATGTTTTTGCCTAAACCTCAATAAAAGGCTTTTCAGTTGAGAGCTCCTGAAGTGGCAGTGATTCAGCTGTGCATCTGAGCCCTGACAGAGCCTGTTCTGAAGGGCTGACCCTTCCTTCAGGAGGTATGGATGTGGCATCAGAAGAGAGAAGTGGCAGAGGGAGGATGATGCACAGCAGTGAGTGTCATTGGCCCAAAGTTCAGAACATGTGAACTGCACAGATCCAGAGAAGTTGATGGCAATGCTCCTGCCCAGCATTTTAAAGACAGAGCAAAGTTTCCAGATTGCTACAGCTTGTGTGTGCAGCACTGGCTCAGGGCTCTTCCCCCACTCCCAGTTTTTTACCTCTGTGTAGGGTTGTATTTTTAGTAAGACAGCACAGAGGCAGGCTAAGGTATGTACAGCTTTGACACACTGGGAAGGAGATTTAAAAAAACAGTAATTTTCAATACTATAGTAGAAATCAGCCATTTGTGTGATTCCAAGGGGTATTTTCTGATTATTTTAGTTGGAACTGTATGAACTTTAAGGTCCCTTCGAACCCAAATCATTTCATGATTCTATAAAACAGGTTTAGGCAAGAATTGGGCAGCTCTGGAAAACAATGCATTTCCCTTTTCAGGATTAAAGTGAATGGGTTCTGTTACTGTGTAATACCTTAGAACACTTGCTGCACTGACACATAAAGTATGCTCTATGTTTTGCCAGTTTGCTCATACAGAAATGTTCCAGGCTTTTTTGGCTGCACAAATATTTTGATATAAATGTCACAGCATTTAATTTTATTTGTTACTAATCCCATACATGAGTCAAAATACAACAATACAGGAGAAAAAAAACCCCAACTGTTTCTGGTTTTGCCAGCATTATCTTTGTATTTGCAGTATTATAACATTTGATACTGAAAATTCTAATAGTCTGGAGTTTTCTTCACCTTTGGATTAGTGTGCCTACAAATAGATTACCTTTTGCATGCTATGTAAGCCAAATTTTAAGACTCTGTAAGGATAAGGATGCCACCCCATGAAACAGAATAGGTCAAAAAATAGTCAATACAACCACTTTGTGACATCGTAGTTTTGCAGCTTGGCTGATAACACTACAGAGGAAGAGAATGAGGAAGAAAGCGTTCATTAATTTGGGAAAAAGTGCTTGGTGTGCAGAAGAAATGTGATCCAGCCACCGGCTGAGCTCCCATGCATCGTCTGAGATGCAGTCTGCACTTTCTGGAGATAAATACATCAATTTAAACCTCTCAAAATGACATTTAAGTGTTTGCATTTTTACTGCATTTTTGTGGTGGGCTCAAAGGAAACATGGCCAAGAAGGCTGGCTCCTGAGGATGTGGAACCAGCTCTACCCAAACACTTAGAAACAAGAAAATCCAAAACACGGGGCAAGAGGGTGCATGGGAGAATGAGTCCAGCTTTGTCACTGCTGACTTCAGGGACTGAGGAATGTTCATGCAGCACACACAGGTAATGGTTGCCCACAAAACATCCACAGCCCCCTCTGCTTAAAATGAAGCATTTCAGGGTGTGAGGCAGCGACTCTGTGTGGCTGATGGAGGGCAGGGTTTCTCACTGCACTGAGGGGGAGCCCTCCTCCCTGCCTGGGGTGAAAAGCCAGTGGCCATCTCTATATCTGTCCCTACCTTTCAGGGTCATCAGTTCTTAGTCTGGTGGACACCTGCCATTTTTACACTGCAGGAAGAGCTTTAAAGTCTCCACCAAGCCTAGGACTGAAACTTTCTTGTAACCATGGCTTAATTCCAATAAATACAAAGTATTTTTTATTGAATTAAAAACTTTCCCAGCCATTAAAACCCCATGCCAGATTCTGAGGAACAGAATGGTGATGAAGGCCTCCCTTTCACAGTGTTGTCCATTCATGTTCAGCTTGGAGCTCTGCGGGGTTCCTTGCTGAACACTGATGAATGAAGTCTTTGCAGCTTTTTATTGTGATATGGTGCCCTCCCAGAGTGCAGGGAAGTTCAGTTACCCTGAACTTAAAATTGTCCAAATGGACCTGGAATCACACAGAGCATTTCTGGCTTAGTGTACTTTGAGGCAGCTACAGCTCCATAACTGACTCATAAAATGAGTTTTCAGCAATAGCGTGATTCACTTTAAGTCTTTTTTGCTTTCCATCTCTGTACCATACTTCCTCCCTTGATCTCATGGCATACTTCCTCCCTTGATCTCATGGCACCAATGGCTCTGAAACCCACGGCACTTCTAGCCAGGTTAATGCTTGTGTTTTCTACCATTTCCTGCAGGCATCCCCAGCTGCTCTAGCAAAAAGCGTTTTGGCTGAAGTTCCAAACCAAGTCGTGGACTATTACAATGGCAAAGGGATAAAACCAAAATGTATGTCAGAGTACGAGTCTTCCAGGACACTAGCTCCATGAACCTGCCTGCACTCTTTTACAAAATTAAAAAAGAAAAATGCTTCTCTCTACAACTACTGTATTTAAAAAATGAAACAAAAAAAAAATAGCACGTTTTGGTGATTTTTAACTAAATTTTTTTTTTTTTGCATGTGTAGCCTAAAGGCTTAAATCTGTCAAGCGGTTGTATTGTTGAAACCTTTTTATGAGAAAAAAAATCCAGAAAAAAAAGGTGAACTCTTTACATTACAGCATGTTGCCTTGAAATAAAAAGTTATCTGTATCTGGTTTTTATACAGGTTTGTTGAAATTTTGCTAAATTTCTTATATTTACACTGTAAAGCATTTTGAAATATTTATTGAGTCGATAGCCAAAATGTCTTTGGTTTAATCTGCTATGAACTAAGAGATTTTTCAAAATGGCAGATGCATGAACTGTATTTTGCATGTTTAAAATAAAAACAACACAGTTTTGCAGTTGTCTTTATTTCTCTCTCTGCCACAAGGCTGCCTGCTTTCAACTTCCATATTCCAAGGGAATGGTAATAAAGTGTTTCAATAGATACCTGACCGAAAGCATGGGCATTTCTAATTTTAGCACCTTATAACATGGACACCCAAACGAGCACACTCAGTCTGTGGCCTGAGTAGTAACTTTTCCAAAGCCTGACAAATCCAGCTGTTACAAAGTGTTCAGACCATAGCTGTAAAGAGATCTGACTGTAAAGAGAGGATGATCCATCGGGACCACATATCTTAAAACATGCCAACTTAATCCAAACAGTCTGGCTGGCTTTCAAACAGGATGTATTTTGGCTATCCAATTTTATAACCTCTTCTGTTTGGTAATTCTTATTTTGTTTCATTTGTGTTTTAAATCTCACATGCAGTACCCAACTCTGTGTGGCACATTTTCCAAATGAAATTTTGCATGGCCTGATTTTGTGACAAACAGTGATTTGTAACTTCATCCTCACACAGATCACCCATGTGTGATAGAAGAACTGTTTTTTACCAAAAGAATATTGAAGCCACCTTTTTTTTTTTAAATAAAAGAGTACATAAAAGAACAGAATGGTGCTGGATTGCACTTTCCATTGAAATATTTCTGTGTGTAAGTGAAGAAATTAGATCAATATTTTCTGTGTTTGAAGGATGTGACTTGTTAAAAACTAAGAAGAAAATTTGACAAAAAATAATCTCTGTGGGATTATCCAAAAGGCACAACTTTGGATGAATTGTACTCCCACTGAATTGAAAACATTCTTGTTGCTAGTTCCTGAAGAAGCTGTTTGGGGCCAGTGCTGAATATTTTGAAAACCTTCCCCTGTGAGCAAGGGCTTTTGGTTAAGAAATACGTATTTTTAAATGAGTTTTCAGGTAACAGTAGTTGAGCTCCCTGATTCTCCTTTAGAGGTATCTTCCATAGGATCAGCTTTGATTGATGATTTTGTACTCTTAAATGAAGGCAGTGGGATAGCCAAGATGTATGGGGCTGCCTCCCCAGCACATTCAGTTCTGCCCCATCTCTATTCTGCAGTGCCATCATTCACACTTGCTTGTAAAGATTTCTTCAGCTGATCAGATACTGAGCAGCAGCCAGTATTACCTGGTCATGGGTATAAATTGTCTGGAGATGTCCAAACGGATAGATCTCAAATCCACATTTCCATGTAATGGCTGACACTTCATTTGAAAGCTTACCCTGACAGGCTGCACATCTCTCCCTCTGTGGGTGTATTTCATCTGGAAGCTACTGTGATCTCCCCTTACGTGTCACACACCATTCTGCCAATGACTCTTAATTCTTACATCCAACACCTCTAGTTTCTTATTCCCACTTCCCCCCTATTTTCTTTCCTTCCCTATTCTCAGGAGGAGCATTTTCTAGCTGTTAAAGCACAGGACTGAAAAATCAATGACTCTGTGTTCTTTCCTCCTCCAGCACCTCATTTTGTTTTCTTGCCCAAGATTTTTAAATGTTCTGCACCTCAGATTCCTCCTCTGTAAAATGAAGGTCACTGTCATGTATCATAAATATCTCACAATAGTACTGGGGTTTAAAAAGTGATTTGAGATCCTTCCTCAGAGGCATGATGGTGCTCTCACCATGGAAAGAGTATTACATTACCCTGGCACTTGCATTACGGGATGTCATGTACAGTTGAGGAGAAGTTCAGCCTTTTCTTTATAATTTCCCAGACTGAATAAAAGAAAGCTTTCAGCAAGAAAATTTAGGAATCAGATAAATTGTCCTTCTGGTACATGTGATCTTTGACTAAACTAATTTTTGAAGTGTTTGTGGTTACATAGAATTGGGCAGTTACAACTCTTCATTTCCAGAGGTGTTACGAGGTGCTTCTATAATGTGGCATCACATAAAATGCAGAGATCAACAGGCTATTGTATGCTGAGCTATATAAACCATCAGTCATTTTCATGTGTGTACATGGTCCATATAAGTGTCTTTAGAACCCCAGCTGCTGCAGATATTTCTGTTTACTTCACAAAATCCAGATTATAAATGCTCTCTACTTAAAAACAAATCATTATCAGTGGTTGATATAAGTCAGCAACTCTGTAGGAGCCCTCAATTACTTGGAAAGGTACCTTCATGGTATTGAAAAATCAATTGGAAATCTTCTTCAGAATGTACAGATCTTAGCATGTAAGACAAACACGTAACAGTGTGGTGAGTTGGTGTAGGATGCACAGAAGACAAAACTGGCCATATGGTAAAGGCTTTCTAATGAGGCTTTGGATGTTATTTTCGTTGCTCCAAGCTACTCTCTGCAATAAAATACTGTGGACTTTGTGCAGGGTAACCTCATTAAATGCATGAATATATCTCTGAAATGGGATTTTTTTTCTCCTGTTTTATCTGCTTAGGGTTTTAGCAAGGCCATTCTGCCTTTAGGCTGAACTGCCATCAATTTCTCCTACAGATTTTTTATGCAAATTTAAACTTCTACTGCCTTTTGATGGATCATTTTAAATTCTGAAAACTGCTTTAAAATAAATTACATCTTGTCCTTCTGAGATAACCAATGATGTAAAATATATTCTCTTCCAACTACAACCCTGCCTTCCTTTTTATCTCAAATCCAATTCAAACAGCAGAAAAGTCACAGAAAACTCCTATTAGCCCAAAATAAATTAACATCTATAATTCTTGAGCCAGATACTGGGATGAGTTGCATTTTTAGTTTGTAGGGGAAACTAAGTCCGCAAGAGATTTGAAAAAAGCGCTAATACACTGCTAAGTGCTTATTACCCTAAGGTAAAACCTTTCCATATAAAGACTTTACCATAATGAACAATGCAGTATTCTAATTTTTTTGGTTTGTTTGGTTTTGGTTGGTTGTCGTTTTTTGGGGTTTTTTTTTTGTTTTTTTGTTTGTTTGTTTGTTTGTTTGTGGGGTGTTTTTTGGGAAGGATGAACTGGAAGATTCCTAAGATAAGTTTATACTTCTCAAGTTATTTTTTTTTTATTTTATTTACAGAAAGTGCCATTTTTGTCACAGAAAAATAGTTTATAGCACCACCTGTCCTTCACACAGAGGTCTTATTTTTACCTGCATGGTAGGTAGCTCCTCATGACCTGAGGAGTTGCACTATACCAGAGACAATTTCAGCAATTAAAGAGCTATATGAATGATAACTGTCAGCCCAGCTGCATGTTTGCTTGCAGCATTCACTGCAAACCATCAGCGGCTGCACTCCCACCCCTTCTTTTTTGTTTTTTCCAATTTCATTGCAAAGTTGGAGAGATCCTCCAAACTGATCAGGTGAAACCCAGGTGACCTCTCCTCCGAAGGCTGACAGTTCAAAAGTGGTGTTTCCACTTCCTGCGGTTCTGAGGAGTATCCAAGGCAGCAGACTGGTGGGAAAGCTTTTTGTAATGGGTGCTCTTCCTTTCTTCCAAAAAAAGTGGCAGCCATTTCCACTGCTGTGCAGAAAGCCTTCTACTGCTGCATTCAGGAGGCATTTGAATTCTTGTCCCACTGATCAGAGCAGGCAGTTTGCCACCTGATTGCACTCAGAGCTGCAGCCACCTTGCTACACACACTCCCCCTCACACACACAAACTTGATGAGTTCATGCCTCTTTAGCACCATGGCAAGCTGCATGCAACTAAAAAAAAAACAACAACAACAAGAAGAATGTTTATTTTGCATCATGATAAATAGGGGGAAAGTACAGAACTGAAATTTTTCTCTCGGAAATGTGTGCCCCCGTGTATTACTTCCAAGTTACTGGTGCAGGAAATCCTGTGTCACCTCAGCTGTGCAGGATGATACGTGAGAAAAGCATCATGCTGTGGCAACAAGGCTCTCTAGGATCAAGGGAGCCCTCTTTACTGGCTGGGAACATCTGCCATGGCTTGGCAAGTTACTTGATCTTGCAATGTGCCTTGATTCCAGTTCTCTAAAATGGGGGCAAATAGAATTTTGCTACTTCCTGGGGATTTTTGGTCAGGTAGGCAACTGTAGGGTTGCCACAGTGCTCAGAAATTGGGACATAACACCTTTAACATTTTTAGACCTTTTATTTCTCCTGCTATAAAGGTCTCTGTCAGAGCAACAGCATAAGCTACCAATGGACCCCATTAGAAAACACATCTGTATGAAACTTAGCAACATCCCTGATGCTGTTCTTGATGCCAGGGAGAGAGCAAAAAGATGCAGTGATTGCTGTGATAGTGGAGATGACTACCCAGCTTCAGAGAGGGAATGTCAGTAGGACTGTAAACTCAGGAGATGCATTTTTGGACACACTATGTGGCTACTTCTTAAAAGGACAAGTAAATTCGGGATAAGGAATGTGTATGAAAGCTACTGGGAAGTTTCTGGATCACAGTTTTGGGTGTGAACACCAAAATAGCCCAGTTACAAGCCTCAAGTGCAACACCCCCACACACACATACCAAAGAGGGGGAGAAGATGGAGTAGTGGGGTAAAGAGAAACGAGGACGGATTCCAGCTGACCATGCTGACAGCTCATGTGTCTTTATAAAAAGGGATTTCTGCTGAAACCAGAAGGGAATCTTGGGTTCATACCCCTTCGCTATCCTAACTAGTGCACTCTCAGCTGTGCTGGGTCTCTGCCCAGAAAAGGAAAAAAAGGGTGAGTCAATTCTGGATACTGATGAAAGCCAGACCACACCAAAACCAGAGTGTCACAGGTACCATCCCTGTGTCAGGCTCCCCAGGACCCTCTGCCTCATTTTAATTAACTCATTTTAATTTAACTTTTCTTGGCTACACTATTAAATACACTTCCCATAAACGCTGCTGCTCGCTCACCATCACACGGCGCAGCCCCTGGCTCGGAGCACACAGTCATAGAGTGATGGGATCATTCCGGGTGGGAAAGGCCTCTAAGTTCATCCATTCCACCCATTATCCCAGCATTGCCAGGGCAATCACACCACCTTGTCCTTAAGTGCCACATCTACATGTTTTTGTGAACGCTCCCAGGGACAGCGATCCCACCACCTTCCCTGGGCAGCCTGTTCCAATGCTTAACCACCCTTTCCAAGGAATTCTCCCCTATATCCGACCTAAACTGCCTCTGGCGCGACTTGAGGCCGTTTCCTCTCGTCCTGTGGCTCATTTCCATGGAAGCAAAGCCCTGAGTGGTTAAGCCCCGCACCCCGAGGAAGTCTGACACAGCAGAGTCGCTTCTTCCCAGACACCAGCACACCCCGAGGGCACCTCCTCAGCCCCTGCAGAAGGTTTTGAGTCCATTGTCCCGCAACCTGTGTGCCTAAGGGGTGCTTGCCAGCGATAAACCCCACCAGCAGCTGCCATTTTCCCGTTTTAGAGACGCGTGTGGTGGATTTCACTGCCTCACGCCTGGAATGCAGGCACAGGAGCGACGGCAGGAATGGAACGGCTGAGGGAGGAAAGGGGCCCGTGGCTATTTCTGCACGTCCTCGCCGTTGCGTGAGGTATTCCCCCGAGTCAGAATAGCTCCATCGGCCACGGGTGCTGTAGCCCACGACTTTGGGGTGATCCGGGAGTTTTTTGTCACTTTTGAGCTCTCCGCCCGCGGGGCGGAACTCGGTGTCCGGGGCAGCACGGAAGGTTTCCAGCGGCGGACACGGCGGGGCCGGAAGGCGGCGGCGGCTCCGCCGGGGTGGCGGCATGGCGGGCTGGGGGCGGCTGGCCCGGCTCGGCGGGCGCCTCTGGGCGGCGGCGGCGCCGGCTCCCGGACACAGGTAGCGGTACAGCTGGGAGGGGAAGGGGCTGCTCCGAGGGACGGGAGGGAAAGAAGAAGCGGCAGGAACAGCGGGGAGCAGAGCGTGGGTCGGCCCCTGTCGCAGCCCTGAGGTCGTAGAATCGTAGAATGGCCTGGGTTGGAGGGGAACCTTGAAGATAATCAAGTTGCACCCTAATGCTGTGGGAAGGGACGCCTTCAGCTAGACCAGGTTGCTCAGAGCTGCATCCAACGTGGCCTTGAACGCTGCCATTGATGGGGCATTCACAGCAGTTCAGTGCCTCACCACCCTCGCGGCAAAGAATTTATTCCTTATATCTAGTCTAAGCCTACTGTCTTTCAGTTTGAACCCGCTTCCCCTTGTCCTGTCACTACAGGCTCTTGTAAGTAGTTTTGCCTCGTCTTTCCTGTGGGTTCCGCTCAGGTGCTGGCAGGTGAGGGGTACCTGGGCTGCCCCTTTCCCTCGGCGGCCGCGCCCCGGCCCTGGGCGCCGTCTGTGGCCGCGGCCTCTGCGTGCAGCTGCTGGCAGCGCCTGGAAGCTTTGTTCGTGCTGCCAGGGGTTACTGCTGGGCCATTCCAGCCTTAGAAATAGCCCCAGCCTGCGGGGGAGTTATGGCAGGACAGGCGTGTTCGCGTCCCAAGTGTCTTTGCAGCGTAGTGAGCGACTTGACCTGCCGTGGTTTGGGTCACCTTGGCCCGCTGGCCACGTGCATTCAGCGCCTGTGCTATCAAATACTCCTTTGTTGACATTGCAGAGGACTGGGGAGCATTCAGTCCTTTTTCAGCCCTCATAACATTTATGGCAGGACACTGAGGTGCTCAGCAGTGTTTGTAGAATCAGAGAGTTGTTGGGGCTGGAAGGGAGCTGAGGAGCCAAGTTCTAAGCTGAGGTCTAAGTTCTTTCTGACAGTGTGACCAGCCCTGAGGTCAGACCAGGTTGCTCAGGGCTTTGTGGTTTTGGGTCTTGAAAGCCTCTAAGGACTGAATCTGCGCAGTCCCTCTAGACCCCAGTGCCACAGATTGTCTTCAGGCTGAACATTTTTTTCCTTAGGGCAAATCTGAATCCCCTTTTTCAGTTTTTAGCACTTCTCTCACTCTCCTGGCATGCACCTCATTGACATGGCCTGCCTCGGTCTTGTCAGTAGCTTTCTCACTAATTATTCCGTGCCACTTGTGAATGGCACTGTGCATTTCTGCTTTGTGGATTTCACTGGGTTCCTTGTTGGCTTGTCCCTCTGGCTGGCAGAGGGACACCCTTGGGCATCATCCACTGCTCCCTTAAAACTTAAAAACAGTGCACTCATCCCCTCTCAGAGGCCCCTGAAAAAGATATTGAACAGGACAAGTTCCTGAACAGACTCTTGGAGAACTCTGCTTGTAACTTGCCTTCTAGTAGAGTCCAAACCATCAGCTGTGATTCCTTCAGCTGATGATCCAGCCAGGTTTTTGCTCAGCTGATAGCCCACCCATCCATGCCATAACATCCCATCTTGGATAGAAGGATGTCACAAGAGATTGTTTTAAGTCTTGCTAAAGTTAAGGTAAACAGTACCTACAGTTATCTCTTTGTTCATGGATCTAGCTGGGGTTTTTTGTCTTAAAAGGAGTGGTTGCTTGCTTTGTTGTTGCTTGCTCCCCTTTGGTATAATTCAAAATACTTAGTCAAATGACAGATAATTAGGTGTTCTAGATGTAATATACGTGTTATGAGACACTTTTTGTACTGATATGACGCTCAAAACTTTTTCCCACCTCTGGAAAGGGGTCAGCTGGGCTTTGTAGTCAGACACATCAACAGTTCAACATGGTGGCATGAGCATCTTTCTGAAGAGAATGTGGAGTTCCTCAAGAAGATAACTGCAGAGGAGTACAAAGCTCAGACAGCCAGCAAGCTGTGCCCTCTGAAAGATGAGCCATGGCCGCTGAATAAGTGGACACCAGGTGAGAAAGTATCTCTTCTGAAATACCCCTGTATGCTGAAATTATTCAGTAACATCAGGATTGTGTCTTGTGAAGTATTCTCCTTTTGGCTTTCACATAAATCACTCAATAAATCTCCATGTAGATAAGTAAATGTAATACATCAGTTCTCTAAAAAGCATTTAAAATATTACAAGATGTTAACAACCTTTAAAGAACTTTTAGTTCTTAAGGTAGTTTATAGTCCATCTCTTGGCCCATCTCACTGCTGTACAACAAGACAATAAATTAAGAATTTGTCAAAAAAGTCTCCTTAGAGTATAAAGTGTATGAACTTGAAAATGTTTTTGTTAATATTGCTGGGCTCTGAAGAAAAAGTGAAATATAATACATCCCACTTCTGGTCTGTGATTACAATGTTATGGACTAGAACACAGAATTAAGTTTTTGAGCTTTCAAAAGGGTCACATCATTTGTGTGGCTTACTTGTCAGGTTGCCATTGCACTGATTGGGGTGGGAAGAACGTCCTACAGCAAACTTCTCAATAGTTAGTTTGGCTCTAATACATGGGCATTGTATTTTGGAAAAGAAAAACTAACCAAAAGTAGTTGCATTTTGTATCAAACACAACAGAAACAGGTAGAATTTTTGGTGGGGTTAAAAACTCCCAGCCTCCCTGCAAGGATTTAGTGGTGTTTTCTCTCCTTCACCTCCTTAGGAAAGATCAGAATTAGTGGGACTTTGCAGATTATTGGATAAACTCTTTCAATTACTAAGTGTGAAGGTGCATCCATGTTCTGTTTTGACCTACAGATTCCATCAGAGTTGGTGTTGTTGCAATAAAACTGGGAATGATGCCAATATGGACCAAATCAGGAGAAAAACATGCTGTCACACTACTTAAGGTGAAATAAACGATAATGAATTTAATCTCCTATACTGCATTCAGATTGTAAACCAGCTGTTTCAAGGAAAAGTGAAACTCACTGCTTGTACAGAGTAGGAAATCCTGAAAGAAAGTGAAGATTTCTTTCACTCCTGTATAGTACACCACGCCCATTCTGCTTATATCCATACTTTCTAGGAGTGGTCTGCCCTGCTGCCTCAGCTATCCAAATGCTGCAGAGCTTTGAGTGGTGTTACCTAGGTGATGCAGCAAAGCTGGGGTTAATTATCCCACTTCACTTCTTTTATTTTTCCACCTGCAGGCATGTTTGGATTAGTTTCACCTTGGTTTCTGAGCCTTTGTAGCTCTGAAGCTGCTTCTTCATATTCTCTGGCAGCTGCTCTTGTGATGAAACCTTCTCCTCACTGGCTGCTGCCACAAGAGGAGCCACTGCTGTGAAAGCCATCAGGTTTACAGGGCAAAGGAGCAGGAGTCTAAAATGGGGGCTCTTACTGTGCTTTGAATGCTTACAATAGAGGTTTTGCAGATCTTGTGTGAAAAAGGTGATTATAATTTCTAGAGCATTTATGAAATTAGTTTGCATTCTACTAGTTGTTTTCTTTCTGAAATAAGCCTTCAGTTCATTGGAAAAGTAATGTCAGTGGTAAAAATGTAATACATTGTCTTACTTGTAGGCTGTGTCTTCTGTTATGAAAACAAAGACTGAATTTGGTGTTTTGTTGTCTTAATGTATACACATCTGCTTATGCTCAGATGAACACTTTTTCTTTTCTCTAGGTTCAAGATTGCCATGTTTTAAGATATGTTTCAAAGGAAGAGTCAGGTGGAAAAACAGCTAAGCTGCTTGTTGGAGGCAAAAATGTATCTCCTTTTTCTGTAAGTGAAGCACTTTGGGTGTCACTGATGGAATAATTGTTTCTGTTGTGATTATAATACAAAAGTAGCATAAGTACACTTCTCTGAAAAAATTATTGACAGGCAAGCATGTTTTGTAATTGATCTTTTGTCACATTCACCTTTGCTGTTTCCTAAAGCAAGTGTAAATTCTTCATTAAGAGAATAGGAAGAGGAACTTTTTGAAAGTTTTGCCTCTTAATTCTCTAGGAAAGCTGTGGGTTTAGGAATTTGCTTTGATGTGCAGTGTCCCATGCTGGTGAAAGGGTTTGAAGGACCACTAGCAGTGGAGAAATGTGTGTTCTTCATGTCTGTGGAGATGCAGTTGAGATGAGGACTGCAAGATACACACTTCAGGAGCCTGTTGTAAGCTTACTCAGCTCCATCAGTTGTTTATAACTTAGTGCTCTAGCTTACTCTTCTGTACTGTCTTTTTAGCTATAGTTCTAATTTTTCCCAGGTCTGTTGGCATTGTTTAGTTTGCCTATAGTTCTGCTGATAAGTAACTTTAAGACTTACCTATTCAACAACATAACTTCATGATTGTAACTCATCAACAGCCATATCAAAGCCACTCACTTTTTTAGACATCCCAGTTGCTTGATGTGGAATTCCCAGATATCTCTAGTGGCTGAGGTTGTCTGGCAGAGCTGTCATTCCCCAGGATGAGTTATAGATCAAGCAGGAACAAAGCATTCCCTCAAAGGATGTTTGTGTGATGCATTATTCCTGTAAAATATAATTTTTCAATTCTTGCAATATCCTGACACTCATTTGTCTGATGTGGGCAAGTAAAAAAATCCCAGGGCTCATGACTACTAAGCAGATTATCTCAGTTCATGATTGTGGCTTTTTGAGGGCATAGATTCAAAGAGATGGTTATCCCAGGGCCTCAGAATTACTCTGTGTACTTGTTCCTGCTTTAGTGGAGATCAGAGAAGAAGGACTTCTTTTCATTTGATAAATCTGTTGGCTTTTTAGTATATTCTGCTGATTTTGAACAGACTTATACTTCAAGGTACCATTCATTTCTTTGGTTGGTTTATGCCATGTTTGACTAGCACAGCTTGCACTCTTCAGATGTCTATTCTGTCACTTCAGTCCATTTCTACCTTCCAGGTATGACAGTTTCCTGGAAAAATGACAGCTGTGTTTTTTCTTTCCTATTAGTTTGGTCTAAGACATGCAAGAGTCATGGGAATAATGTTTTCAAGTTGTATTTTGCCCATTAGAGTTGATCTTTTCATTAAGATGATGTTACCAGTAAACCCAGTATGTTGTCTGAGCAAAAGTGTGCCAGAAGTAAGAAGGTATGAAGAAAACTTCTTTTTAAACAGCTCCTATGAAAATTTCTTCAAAGCAGAACTACGTAAAAAGTCAACTCAAGGACTTTTTAGTAGTGTTAGTTATGTTCAAGACATTCTTTGGGCATAACTTTTCCCAAGTTGGGAAATTGGGAGTTGAATTTCAATTCACTTGAAATTGAGTTTAATTTAATTGCTTGAATTTAGACTCATTTTAATAAAGCAATTAATTAAATATTATTTGAGCAATCTTTGGTGAGGTCCCAGCCTGAGACTGAACTGTGTACTATTATTATTACTACTATTATTATTATTATTATTATTATTGTTGTTGTTGTTGTTGTTATTATTATTTTATTTTATTATACTGAGCTCTGTATTGTTATTTTTGACATCATCATTATATAAACTAGATAATTCCTAAGGAAGAATTTAGCATGCTGATTCTGAGCAGATTTACTTGTTAAAGGCACTAACAAGTGATGTATTTCTGTGGTTTAGCTGCAAGTTTGGATCATTGCTTTCCTATGTTTATCAGCCTTTTTATGTGTTTCTTTCAGAAGTGTCAGAAGTGAGATATAAAAGAAAGCTGAATGATACTGTCTTGTATTAGCATAAGCAATTTCTCTTTTGTTAATTCCTCATAGGAACATCTGTCTTCCTCAGATTCCTCACAGCTACTGGTTTTTAATGAGTTCAATCAAAAGATTCCTTCAGTAATTTTTCTAACAAAGAATTTCCTGTATTTCTTTGGAGTGTCAAATTGCTTTAAAAGTGATAAGGGGTATTGCATTTTTAGCAAGATTCCTTTTTAGCTTGATGTATGTCACTCTGTTAAAAGGGAACAGATTTTTCATTATTTTTTAAAGCAAAGTTATGCTCAAAAGTAAATTCTGTCAGTGCTCAGAGGGTTTTTTTGTCAAAAATATTTTATATGCTTCCTATAAGTGAGGATGTATTGATCATTTTCCTATAATAGTGGAAGGTTTTTTTGGTGTTTTTAAAAATAAGGAATATCCGAGAATTCACTCAGTGTTGCCCTCTTCAATATTGCTTTTTAGGAAGGGTTTGTAAAGACTGAAGTGTTTTGTTTGTAAAAATACATCTTTGACTTGGCTGTTTGAAGAGTAGGTGCTGTTAGAGTAGAGCAGTGCAAGGTTGCAGCCTAGAGTAGGACTCTTGAGATGCAAGTGAATTTTAGCCTTTGACTTCACCATACTCTTCTTCAGCTGTGGTATCTCTTTCCAGCCACACATGCTGAGCACAGGGCTCCCCTTGCTGTAGCTTAAGGCAGCAGTTTTACATAGCTGGAAATAAAGGATTGATATACAGGCACTTAGTAGGAAGTCCATATCTTTATTTTTCATTCTCACATATAGTTTGGCAGATTAATTCAGGTGCTCCACTGATCCTTCAGACATTTGTGGTCTTAGGAGAGATTTTGTATGTAGTTGATTCTGGTTTTTTAAAGGTATTTGAAGTATTTTGTACTGTGACCTTGAGTTAACAGATCTCTTGGGAAACATTTTTCACTCTCAAAGACAGATTCATAAACTTAAAATTTCTGGGTTTTTTTCTAAATCAGAGATCCTCATCATCTTGCTTCCTCATTCTTCATAAAACTTCCTCTGTTCTAACACTTTTCAACAAATGTTTGAAAACAAAAGAAAGGGCAACATGCAGATTTTCAAAACTGTTTTAAATACACTAAGTAACATTTTAAAAGTTGTCTACATTACTTGCTCTTAAAATACACAAAATAACTTTTGAGAGAGCGGGAACTGCACAGGAGTTTTGAGAAGCAAACCTCAGAGATGAGATTATCCAAGTGTGACAGTATTGTTAGATGCTTAAATTGCTTTCTACCAGAAATCATTTGAAGGAAAATCAACTGCATCTCTTTTTTTTTTTTTTTTTTTTTTTTTCTGGGGCCAAAATTTTCCCCCACCCCTTTTTTTTTTTTTTTTTTTTTTTTTCCTGTGGCCACAATTTTCCTCCATCACTGTTTCTGTTGCTTGGTTTTCTCTCAGTGGTCTGCTTTTCTGTGAGATGTCTTGCTTAAAACAGCTGAGAATAATTTTAAGTACTTTAAAATGTATCAGACTCATCTGAAAGCAAAATCCGTGCTTTAGTAAGTCAGCAGTGCTTTGACACTGAGTGTACTTGCTATATCTTAAAAATACATGGATCATAAACTTGTTGTTATTAATCTTTCTTTTTTTGTCCAGAGACTCAAAATTCTCTTCTGTGGAAATTTAAGCATTTCTAGAAGTTTCTGCAAGACGAGAATTTGTTTCTATGGTTTTGTTAGTTAAATAAATTACATTTATCGTTTGGCATGGAACTAAGTCATCACAAGCTTTGAAAAAGAGAACCTACTTCTAAATTACTACAAAACTCCTTGTAAGCCATGGAAAAAAAAAAGTAGCATCTGTCATCTACATTCTAAATGATTAGTTTCCCTCTTCTGATTTTTGATATCCTCATATATCTCTCATTTATATTAGGTAGCTGTAGGGTAACTACTTGACAGAAAATAAAAGGCAGACATTTATTTATTTTTAAATAAACTTTATGTAGAGATAAAATGCAAGCCTGAAGATGAAATTTTAGTATGATGTATGTGTTTCTCTGAGTGATGTTGACAGTCTGTAATAGTTTTCTGTGCTGGGTTGATTCTTGGATATTTTAAGATGACTTCTTTTTTATGGCTGCTTTTTGTTGCAGAAACGAGAGTCTGCACATGAAATTTTTAAAGAAGCTGGAGTGCCACGGAAGCAGAAAGTTACAACATTTAATGTAACAGATGATGCCATAATTAAGCCAGGTAATTTTTTTGAGCTACTGAGTATTACGTGCATAGTCAAGTTATGATGTGTATTTTAGTCTTGTTTTTCATAGCAAGTGCTGAATTCTTTGTCATTAAGCACAAGCAAACTTTTTACATAGGGAAAATCAGAAGATGGGTTTTACTTTTTAGTTGAGATGTAGGATTTTTGCTTTTTCCAGGATACTATGTTTCCACCTATGAGAAAATAAATCCATTCCAAATTTACTCTGAACGTTGAGTTAAGAAGTCTGTAACCTTGACTCACTTATTGGGCATAAATATGGATACAGTTACAGAAAGTTCTGTGTTTATCCCTATGAGCTAGACACAATTTTGTGGTAATGTTTCTCAGGATCCTGAAATAGCAGTTTGAGTTTTGTTTCTTCTTGCTGCATTCAAAAGTAGGACGAAGGCTGCTTTTTTCTGACAGCTTGCAAAGTAAAACACACTAAATCATATTTATAGCAAATATTCTCACTAAAAATCAGTTTTGGAAGTTTGGTGATCAAATGAAAAGTTTAACATTTCTGAGGATTTATTAGGTAGTGTATTTAGGTTGTATTTGTTTTGTGGTTTTTGGCAGTTACAGGTATTTCCTGAAGAATTGTATAGGGTAGGAAATTCTAATGTATTGCATCTCCACTGCTGTTAGTGGAGCTTTTTGTAAGACCTATTTTAGACAGTGCAGTAACTGATAAAAATCAAATCTGACATGCAGAGGAAGTCTGGACTGATAAGTGGAAGCAATTGCTTGAGATAAAGCAGAATTGCAAGTTTTTGAGGAACTGCTTTTACAGTATGTGTATTTCGTACATAACATCCTTTATGTGCATGATTTTGTGTCAGTTGGCAGTTACGCAAATGTGTGGATTATGTAAATATAACATGAAATAATATGAAATTTTTTATGCTTGAGACTTATGAGAAGTTTACCTAATTTCAGTTTACATTTATACAGATTTGAGAAAGCACGGAAGCAATTGAAAATACATGAAGCAATTAAAATTTCTGTTTTTTTAATGGCTGTATAACAGACTGCAAACTGAAATATGCAGTCACATGAATCTTCAGATTAAAGTTCATTTAGAATGAACTAAGTTATCACTTTTACTTTGTTGAGTTTTTTTTAAGCTGCTAATGAAAGAATATTTGCACTTGGATGAAAAAAAGCATTGAAGACAAAACAAATCAGAAGTTAATATTTTGATACTGCAAGTACTTAAGGAATTAGTGTCATTACAGTGAGGTGAGTGATATCACTGACCTACAGTAGCACTGTTTCTGCTAAAGGTCAGCATGTAGACAATTCCCCAGTGGAGGAAGCTGTACTTTTGCCACAGACTTTAGTTTGGAAACACTGTGTCTTAATAGAGGAACTATTGCAAGAATTTCTCTTTTTTAACCCAATATTTTATAGTAAATGGTGGGGGTGGGTCTTGTGGTTTGTTTGGTTTTTTGGTTTCATTTTAAAAAAAAAAAAAAACTCTCCACGTTGTGAAGTGCTAGTAGTTCTCAGTACAGCGTATTCTGTTTTCTTGCTAAACATATGTATTATGAGTCTTAACTAATTGGGCACTTTGGGCTTTGTCAGTGTATGAAGGTCAATGTATCTGAGTAAAGCCTTGACCCTTCCTGCTAATCTGAAATTGGCTTATATCCTAAGTGTGCTTAAATAGTAAATACAAAGCATCTATTTCAGTCAGTGAGGTTGATCAAGAAGAACAAATAAGATGTAAATAACAAGTTCTGTTTCCTTTCCTGTGACTGTAACCTACTCTGGAGGATAATGACTGGGTAGTGGTTTGAGAATTTCAGCACTAAGTTGAACATGATCTCTCCTCTTCCTCTGCAGGTACTCCCTTGTATGCTGCTCACTTCCGCCCCGGGCAGTTTGTGGATGTTACTGCAAAAACGTAGGTGCCTGAGCATTTAACATGTCTTAAATCTCTCCCAAAGAGACTGGCTAATTTGTTTCCCTCTAATTTGGCTTGAACCTATGGCTCACAAAAGCTGAAATACAATTGCAACAGTAGTGACAGAAAATTGATGTCCATTCACTCAAAAATATCAAATTATGTTTCTTGATGAGGCTTACCCTTGCTTTTGAACAAGACAGGTAGACTATTAATACTATTAGGGCTGAGGTCTGCCTGTATTGTCTCTCATGCATGGGCAAAGAGTTACTTTAATACAGTATCTCTAGTATGTAAAAATGGAGAATAAATGCTGAAAGGTATTGGTTCCCCAAAAGACTGCTTAATTTTAATTTGGTGAAGAGATGGGAAGAGATATGTGGACTAAAAGGATAGCAAAAAAATAGTGAATACATTTAGCAGTACAACAGAGCTGTCAAATTCTTTTTTTGTTTGTTTTCTCTCACATTCCAGCTCATGTCCTTGCCAGCAGTGGCTAAAGATCTTTTACTTTAATGTGGGAGGAATAATTTCCTCTCAGACCACTGCAAATGCCAAATGAGCTCAAGCAATAGAGGGTGTTCAAAAGAAAAACCGGTGTCTTGTGGCAAAGACTGGTCCTGGCTCTTGTTGTACATTTGTGGTTTCCCCTGACCAAGAGAGCTCCTGTCTGCATATTTCAGTGTCACAGTACAAAGATAATATTTGCCATTACATGTTTTATTTTCTCTGCAATGGAGATAGAACCCAGCTGCAGTTGTCTCACATGTAGGGTGTAATACCTGTAAATGTCCAATGCTGTTCACAAGATTTTGTATATATGGGGGAACACCATATCAAAAGAGCTGAGTATGCAATTCTAATAGAACTACACCTCACTACAGTTGTGAGCACTCTATTGAGAAAAACAGTTTAAGGAATTGACTGGAATTTGTATTTTTTCCATGTCAGACTTCCTTATACAATACTTAGGTCTGGCACATTATCCATTCTGCTTGTAAATTGCATTCAGTGAGCATCCTGTAAGAGACCGTAGCTTGTTTGCAAAACAAAGCACATGATCATTAGGAATACAGTCATTTAATGGAGATTAAGTGTCAGTCTTTGTTAATGCAGAAAAGCTTTGCTTTTCCAGGAGCTTTTGCAAGAACTAGAGAAGGGATTTTTTTAGCAGTGTAGAAGATATTGGTAAACAGCCGCAGGTTATTGATTTGTATCTTGCATTTAGTATTTGAAAATACTAGCAAGCTAAAAATGGACTGGGTTCTTGGTCCTGTTCAGTGAATCCATCTAGATTGCAGTTCAGTATTTCTAATATGTTTTTTCTCTAGATATTTGTATGATCCCATTTCAGAAATTAGGTGTGTGTTTGTACTGCTGATTTGGTAGCATGTTTTTTGTAATCCTTCTGTAAAGGTGAAGGAAATGTTCTTAACTAAAGAGAAAGGTGAAATGGGTTTTCTGTCAGTGTGATTCTCTAATTGTTCCAGTCTTTCTATATCAAAAATTTTTAACCTTTTTCTGTACCTCGCTCACATTCTGGTTTCTTCTTCTTTGGAATTATTCATTTATCATGTTCTCTTAGCTCCTGGGCAAGAATTAAGTTATGTTACTGCATTTCAGTGTTTCTTCTATTATTTTGGTTCTTTCCATACAATCTAATCCAGCAAAGGCTCATCCAGCCTGGGGAAGGACTTGGAGGGAGGACCTGGGTCTTTCTGTTTCAAACCATTATGGACTTGAAACACAGTAATTCCTAAGACGTGCTGTCAAGTAAAAGTTTTTAGAAATTTATTTACTTGAATATGTACTTTACATTTTTGAGTTTGACAGTAATTTTGCTTTAATTGGAGGAAACTCTGGAGTGTACAGTGTTAGAAATCATGTGGATGAAAATAGCAGTGCTGTTGGTAATAGCATGATTAATTGTAATAAATCTTTTAAAATGGAAAGAAAGAGCAAATATCACCTCAATGAGGAGATAATACAGTGGAATATAAATGATATTTTAATATTTTACCAACTTTTAATTGTTCAGATGAACAAGATATCCTTTTGTGTACTTCCTTCTGCCAAGATGTAAATAAAAAATATGCTCCTTGTAAATAAGCAAACTTCAAATTTCATTTCAGAAATCTTGGATTAGCTGCTTCATTTGGTTACAAAAATGTAGAGGGTTTTTATGACTGTCATCTTTTAATCTTCCCTGCAAATGTTTTTGTCAAAGTCTTTTAAAATGTTTTGATTCATTTATACCTCTGTAAAGAAAAACATTTTTACAGGAATGAGAGGGTTCAGTTAAAGATTTATGTGTGTACTTTGTTTTTATTTCAAATCTCATAATTGTTCAGCATGGTATGAGTGGCTTTTAGAGCACTGGGACTAGGCAGTGTGTCTGCATGCTGTCAGTCTTCTGTAGTGCTGAAATATTTTCCTTAGTACTTATTTTCAGTAATTTAAAAGCTCAGTCCTTAAGTTTAGCCCTGCTAAGCTTGGAGCTAAAATGCACAACACCATCTGGAAACACCTCTCTCACAGGCTGCAGCTCTGTGACCCCACCTTGAGTACTGCATCCAGCTCAGTGGTCCCCTCTAGGGATAGAACACCTCCCCTATGAGGAAAGGCTAAGGGAACTGGAACTGGCTTCAGGGGGACCTAATTGCAGCCTTCCAGTACCCGAAGGGAGCCTGTAAGATGGAGAAAGACTGTTTGTAAAAGCATGTGGTGACAGGACAAATGGCTTCAAACTGAGAATAGGTTTGGAATAGATATTAGGAAGAAATTCTTTACTGTGAGTGTGATGAGGAACATCAGAAATGTTGTCAGTCCCAAGAAAAAGCCAGCAGTAGTTTTGTTGGAAATGGGCTAGAATTAAGTGGTGAGTCTGAAGTGTTTACGGTTTATTTAAGTTTTGCTCAATTAACAGTGTTATCTCAGCCTGAATCAGAACTCTCCATTTGCCCAAAGTTATTTCAGTGAGTAGTTGGAATACTTTTCCCCTGCAGCATCGAAATAATGCTCTTTTAAATTAACTACATTTGAAGAGTTACTAGATAAGTAAATTGTTGCTTAATTAGAGTGCTTTATTCCAGTAGCTTTCTAAATGAAAGTTCTCTCATTACGTACTGGCATTTTACTTGTATCAAATCTGGAAAATGAGGGTTTGTACAAAGTTAGGTTGTTGACCTCAACACCCGCTTTCCTGCAGGTGAGGCCAGAACAACTGTAATTAAACTCTATTTTTAACTCTGCAGAAAGATTATTTTTCTTTTAACTCTTACATGTCCTAGTTTTTCATATCATCATTGCTCCCTATGATTACTTTCTGGGAATCAGGTAGTGCTTCACTCAGTGAAGGCAAGTAAACTGAGTCACTAAATTGCATCTGTTGAGGAACAGGGGCATTCTGCATTTCAAATCTAGTTTTATAAGTCTCATGTATGTGGGGTTTTGTGTTCAGATATGGTGTCTAATGTTACTGTTAGAACATTAAAGATGTGTAGCCCTTGATTCAAACCAAGACAACAGGTAGAAGATGCCTTGGCATGATATCACAACAGGGTAAGTAGGATGCCAAACATTCTACTTCAGTGTAGGTTCTTGGTTATCATATTTCAGATACTGTAGCAAACTCAATTATTTTTGAGTAGATTCTAGTAATTTGTTCTATTAAGTTAATATATAGTACTGGATTAACATCCTCCTTTGACAGACCTTAATGTTTTTTAAAAATCTCAGCTGGCTTAAGTTAAGTTTTAATAATTACTTTTCTTTTTTCAGTGATACTTGCTGAATGTATTCACATGTAGTAATTTTTAAGGAGGGCAAAGAGGGCAGTTAAACAATTTGAAATTAAATGAGTGATATTAATAGCTGACACCTGGTGTCTTTTCAGAAATTGACAAGAATGTAATTCTGCATAATATTCATTATTTTTGTCAGATAAAAAGTTTAAGAAGACTGTACAATACACTGTATAAACCCTTCTCTGATTCTCTGTAATATGTCTTGAACAGCATGCATCTTAATTTTTCTTCCTTGTTTATATAAGATAAATATTAGTTTTAAAAGCATGTTTCATTTCATACAATTGGAAGAATGTAAAGTCTTTGCATTAGAAATACATATAAATTGTGGATCATGGAGAAAATGTACTCATTTTCTTTTTTTCTTATAGTGGAGACATCCACCATTTGTCTGAAAACAGATCTTATTCACATCAACTTAGGCTGTAAAAACACTGTTCTTGAGAATGCTTGAGGTATATTGCCTGAGCTACTAACTGCCTAGTTGACCAGTTCTAAATTTTATTATAAACTAGATGTTAGTACTTCCTTACTTTATTTTAAACTTTACATTCAGTCTAGATAACCTTATTCTGTTCTTATTCTGGTTCCATCTTTATTTCGGATAGAACGTAAGTCAAATAAAATATACACTGTGTAATTGTTTGTCTTCTTAACATGTGTTTTAAAAACATTACACATAGTTTATTCTTTTTTAAGGTAAAAAACTCAAAAATAAAAAGAAGCTATAGCTTCTTATTTAATTATTTCAGTCATGATGGCTGTTGAATAGGAAATTAATGTCAGAAAGTCATAAGGTAAAGTGTTCTTGTAGGTAATTGAGTGATTTTTACAAATAAATAATGAAACTAATCCGACACGTTATTGAAGTAATATGGTGAAAGCACCTTGATAGATAGTAAAAACATTAAAATATGAAAATAAAATGTATAAAACTGAAAATAAAAATTAGAAATTAAAGTATAAAATGCTCTTAATTTCAGTATTGTTATATCTTTCCTTGACTTTAAGCAGAATATTTCAGAGACTGAAGATTTGTTTTCATATTCCAGATCAACAGATGCAGGAGAACTTTCAGGTTTACTGGAGTACTCTTTTTTCAGTCTGATCACACTTTATAGAAAGTTCCTAAGACTTTGGTGTTGTAAAATCTGAGTCTTTGTTCACAGAAAATACATGTGTAATTAGAAGGACCAAGAAGCAACCGAGTATTCTTTATTGCATGAATCATTTATCACTAGCAATTCTATCTTGTAATCACCTTTTTTTGAAGATATCGCATAATATTTGATGTACTAAACTCTATTTAAAAAATATATCTCATGCATGTATGAAGAATTTATGTTTTAAATAAACATAATTTACAACATATTTACAACTGACAGTATTCTAAATTGTTCATGTTAAAAAATAAGTAAGTTGAATGAAATGTTGAAGTGGTTTCATGACATCAGAGATTTATTCTTCTTGGCGACATTTGATGGTAGTGTTTACTTTTGAAATGGTAGCTTTCTATGGTTGTGTGGTTTTCTCTGAATTGCAAGAGCATTTCTGCAGCTGAAGAATTTATCATGCCCTATCATTTAAAGAGAGAATTTATCTGCTCGCTCTGTTGACTGCACAGCTGCAACCCACTTGCAGTTGGTTTTGGAGACTTTGCTAAGTCCATCTTCCAGCTAGAGATGCCAGAAGTAATCTACTTGGAAAACATGCCCAGTAATAGGTAGTTTAAAAGAAAAAAATAGCATTTTGGCACAACAGATATGAGGTTTCCTATGGCTTAGTTTCTGCATGTATTTCATAGTTACTACTCCCTAGCAATATGAAAGCAGAAAAATACAAGTTTTGAGCTTCACTTAAAGTGTATTTTTCAAAGTGTTTTTATGACTATTGCTGTTTATTATTGCAAACTTTTAAAATAAGCTGATTCTATCAAAAAGTGGTGTTAAAAAGCCTTGCATCCTTTGGATTCCTGTCTTGCATTCCTGATCCCAGGTAACCCAGGTCCTCCCTCCTGCAGGTGCCTTCATTCAGCTTCCTCTCTTGGCCCCAACCCCCTTCATATCTTCATGTCCCACCACTGTCTGCTGGCCTGGAAGGACTTGTCTTGCTGTTGACAAATGCTTGCATGACAGCTGGCAGATCAAAGGAAGATATCACTGCTTTAATTAAATTGCAGCTTTTCCTTAGCTTTAGGTAAGGAGCAAAAAATAGCCAGGAGCTTCTAACAAGTAACTTTTGTATTCAAGCAGTTACGCATTTTTCTTTGCCAGATTTAACAGGGATTGTCCCATAGGTTCTGAGCAGGGAAGACCAGGAGACAAGACACTGTGATTGCACAGCTTATGTTCCCTTACAGTTCTGTAGCTTTAGAGAGTCTTTCTTTATGGCTATTTTTGACTGTGGTTTGATGTGTTCAAGGCAACCTGGACAGCAGTTAGAGGAGCGTTGAGTCAAGTGGGTAGAGGAAAGAATCTACTTTTCATTGATGCTGGTGTTTTCTGTGTTTGCGTGTTCACTACTTTTTCATGGCAGTGCTGAGCAGGGAGTCAGCCAAGTGCCGTTCCTGCACAGAACATGCTCTGTGCATGCTTATACCCAGTTTTATTTTAGATGCAAAGTGCATATATATTTTTAATGTGAAGTGCGTTAGCAGAGAAAGGATTTCTGTAAATCAGAGGAAAAGGATTCTCTTGCAAAATCATAGAATCACAAGATTTTCAAAGTTGGAAGGGACCCACAAGGATCAGAGGGTCCAGCTCTTTTAAGTGAAAGGCCTTTACAGGGATGGAACCCACAACCTTGGCGTTAGTAGCACCATGCTTTGGCCAACTGAGACAATTTCAGGTTAAATGTAATAATCAGTGCAGCCATAAATACTGTGGTCAGACTTCTGCTTTTGGACACAGACAACACCAGTTAACATTAACATGCACTTAATTCAGCTTTTCCTTTGTGCAATGGTAAGGTGATTTTTCCTATTGAGTCTGTCCTTGCAGTAAATAGAGAATTCCAAAGCCAGTAATGCTGTCATGTGGCTCAAAGATGAAGGACATGGACTCTGAAAATACATTTTATTTGGTATTGTGTTTTAGAACTTACTTGTTGGATGAGTACAGATCAAGGGAATTACATGTCACTATACCCAACATTGCTCTCAGGAGGTGGGTTTGTTGTATGGAAATGTTCCTTCTAAGTAGCCATCTCTTTCCTCTCTTGATGCTTAGGCCGGACATTAAGTTGTGGTATATGGTATTATTTGGGGTTTTGACGTGGTTTTTGTTTGATTGTTCTGCTGCTCACTTGGTGACAGATTCATTATGGTAACTTTTATTGAGGACAATCACAGCAAGGAGCATTTTATGTTAGTATTCTTGCCTGTTTGACTCTTCTAGTGCTTCTTATTCTGTAGAGCAATCTTTAAACATTGTGTTAAAATATGTTCATGGTACAAAATACAGATTTTATACCATGTTTAAGTGTATTCTTCCATAAGCTGAGTGTTGTGAAAGGTAAAAAAATCATGAGCCTGACTGAAATTGTTGATTATTGCTAGAAAGCTTATGTCTGACTAACCCAGGTTTGTTTCTTAATTATTTTTGTTTCCAGAATTGGTAAAGGATTTCAAGGTGTCATGAAAAGGTGGGGATTTAAAGGTCAGCCTGCAAGCCACGGCCAGACAAAAACTCACAGACGACCTGGAGCAATATCTACCAATGTGAGGATTCTCATTTCCCATTAAAACATTCTTCAGTGGTTTCAGAACAGCTTACTAAAACTGAACAAATGTACAATAGCCAGCTGCCACATTTACTCTGTGTTAGCAGGGAATCCCAGCAGCAAAGGAAGTTCAGAATCCTGTATAAGGAGCAATGCTCTTCTCTTAGGCCTCAATTTATGAATATTCTGTATTGCTGGTAAATGCACATATTTTAACTGAGCTCATTGGCATATTTTGTAATGTAGTGAGGACAATAGTCTTAATACTTCAAAGAGAGTTCTAAGAAGCTTTTATCACAGCATTTATAGATTGGAATGGATTTGCCTGTTATTTTATCCTGCAGATATTGTACTGTTCTTTGGAACCCTGGTTGCTTTTATCACCTTGCCTGACATGTGTAGCTGCTTAATGAACTGATCCCAATAATTTAGTAGGGAATTATTCCCAGAAGTGTGTAAGCTTCTATGCATTTCTAAGCAGAGTACAGAGTCATATTTTTACATTTCAAACTATAAATAATATTAGTATAAAAGCTCTTTGAACAGGTAAATTTTAGGCTTTGTCTTATATAGGCTGTACAATATTTATATTGAACAAAGAGGAATATTTTGCAAACTAATTAAGATCATCTGAGTCATAGTACTGAACATGGACTGTCTGTAAATTTCTTAGTGAAATTAAAATATAAAAAAGGATTAATAATGCTCAAGAGAAAAGTAAAAGCAAAAAGGCAGCAATCAATGAAGTTTGAGTAATTGAGAGTGTAAAAGCATGTGTTACTGATTTATAGTCCTTGGTTTCAGCTGGCAAAAGAATTCTACACCTGGCACTTGTTTTCACTGAAGAATGTAAATATTTGAACATCGAACACTATTTTAGCAGATGGTATTCATCATTACAAAATAATCGCTTTACTTTTCTTTAAATTAGAATTTCCTAAGCAGTAATGCTGCATGTAATTTCACAAAGTATGTAGAATGAAAAATGGTGTTGGCAGTAGGTATTATGGGAAGGAACAAGGTGAAAGGATGCAACAGAGGAAAAGCAATGCCTTTATACTGCTTTCCTATGTATGGCTGGCTATCTCAGACATTTTTGTAATCCAGGACTGTTCAGTAGAGAATCCTCTCCCTAAAACTGGATTGCAACTGATTTCCTGAATCATGATTTTCACAAGAATTAAGAAATACTCCAAGAAACATTATTAATGTATAACAGAGAGGAGCAGGATACAAATCCTTTGATAACAGTGTAGAATTGAAAATCATTGCACTTACTCCTGCCTTTTTTCCCCACCTTTGTTGTCCAGGTTATGCCCAGATAATCAAAATTGGGTACAGAAACTAAGGAGTACTGGGGAATGGAATTAAAGATTCCACTCTCAAGAATACACACGTTAAAAAAGATCTGATTGACATCAGTGCAAAAACTTTTTGATTAGGGGAGGGGAGAAGCTACAGTGTGTATATATGTGTGTGTATATATATATGTATAAAAGTTTTGTGATTGTGGTCAAGTATTTCAGAACACATGTAGAGTAAAACATAAACTCTGTCAGGAGGTATTTAAAATGCTTATCAGGATTAGATTTTTTTGATATTATATATTTTCAGCCTTGGAAATTCCAATATATTTTCTCTGGTGCACCTCTTGAGTTTGTAAGTGTACCTCTTGCAGTTAACATGGTAGTTTTGGCCTTGTTTTTATCTAGAAAGCTGCCAAAGTCTATCGTGGAAAGAAAATGCCTGGTAAAATGGGTAACATCTACAGGACATCTTTTGGATTAAAGGTGAGTTCTGGATATAGCAGTGTGTGTATAAGGTGGTGGCATTGCCCAGCAATGGTGTCCTGTCTATCTCTGCGAGAGTCCAGACAGCAGCATCTTGAAGTAAGCAAGCTGGAAAGATCAGAGCAGCAAATGTGTTCTCCTGTTCTCTTGTGGGTTACCAATAACTTATCTGAACATCCTTTGTGCATGTGGTAGCCTGGGAACTGGGATTTCGGGTGATGCTTCCACATCCAGTGTGTTTTTCACTATGTCCCTTGACTTTTGCCTTTGAAGAGGGAAAACAATCAGGCTTTTGGTGATTTCAGTTAATGTCTCCATGCCTGTTCCATTGTTCATACCCAACACAAATCTGAGTTGCATGAAGCTCTGATTTGATCATGGCCTTTCACTTCCATGTGCAAAAAGGGGGTTATAGTTTCTGTCCTGATTCTGATTTGTGCATAGCTACGGCAGCTCCTGAGCTATTAAAGCTACTCTGTCTCTGAAGGCAACCTCTGCAGTTTGCACAGAAAGCATTTTGACCTCTAGTTTCCCAAAAAGTGCTGCTGTTGTTCTCAGTTTACTGTAACTAATTTTTTGTAGCAGAAAATGTGTGTGTTCAGTTGAGCACCTGGTTGAGTTAAGAAATTGACATATGGTAACAGGAACATTTTCACAATGACATTTGTTTTACTTTGTCACCTGTGATATTTTTCATCTTTTTCAACTTGTTGCTGTTAGAGGGAAAAGAGACCTAGGAGCTTTGGTTGGTGTTACACTGAACAAGGACCTGCTTTACCAAATACAGCCTGGCCACCAGCCCTTTAAAACTATTTCAGCCTCTTGCATTAGGAAGCTTTGCACCCAGAGTGGCATGTGAGTTCTGTGGCAAGTTCAGGCCTGTGCAGAACATTTTTCTTCCTCAGGGTATCACAGCCAATTACTCAGTCTGGGCTTTGCTAAACTTCTTTTTGTAAAACTGGGAATAATCTCTAAACAGGACTCAATGTTTGATTTTTTTTTCCCCCTGTCTCCTAGGTGTGGAGGATCAATACAAAGCATGACATTATTTATGTAAATGGGTCTGTTCCAGGTCACACCAATTGTCTGGTGAAGGTATGTTTGCTACTTTCAATACTGGTATTAGTGACTCCTAAGCTCTGTACCAATCAATTTACAAATGGAAAAACATGGGTAGGATGCAATTTTCATTTCTTCTGAGAAGTCCTGTACTGCTGAATCAAAGGGCAGTGGAATCAGCTCTGTGATAGAGCGTGGTCAGCAGGGGCAGTGAGCACTCTGAATGGCTCAGTAGGGCACTCTAAATGGCTCCTTCTTAGATTTGCACTCACGTATCTTAGGATACATCAGCACAGTTGCTGAACCCTACGGTAGGTGTCTCCAGGCTGTGTCCATCCCCTTTGAATGCCAACGTGAGTCTGTAACATGGTGGTGAGATTTCCAGAATGTTATTTGTGTGTTATATTCATGAACAGAGATACAGAGCAAGTCCTGCGTTAGAGGTTATTTGAAGCATTCCCTTACCCAGTAGCAGTTACCTGTCCAAGAAGCAGTTGAGGTACAGCAGTTGAGGAAGAGACATCTGGAGTTCATATTAAAGATCTGAGTTCCCTTTGGAATCAGTATAAATGTGCCAGTGGTATTTTCTGTGGCAGACTGCAGGATTAATTTCAGATTTTTTTTATATTGTTTCAGTTTTCCATAGTCTTGAAACAATGAAGAGTCTGATCAGTGTTCTTATGATGTAAATAATTCACATCAAAGCAAGAAAAATGCATTGTAAGGGTAGTTTTCTAAGTACATTTTTCTTTCTAATGAGGTATATTCCACACACCTGCAAACACCACTTACTTGGAGGAAGTTGTTTCCTTTCTGACTGAATAGAGTGCAGGGTATCAAATATATTCAGCTATGAAGAGTTTGGTATGCATGTAACCTTTCTGTCCATGGAAGTATTGCAGGGATTTAAATGGTTCAGGACTTGAAAAGTTGAAGTGTTCATCAAATTCAGATGTTTTCAAATAGTTTATTATCTTCTTTTATTTTACTGTGGGCATCCAGTTTTTGTCGGGCATTACATACAGCAACCTTGCCTTCAAATTGTTTTTTTACTCATAGAAAAATTATGTTTTTCTCACTGCAAATAAGGTTTTTTTTCCTGGGCAAGGTATCTCTTAACTGTTTTTATTTAAATGTCCAGCCCATGCCTGGGGAATACATTATACATTTCTCTTCCAAATATAGTGAAAATTGGTTAAGAGCTGTCCGGGAAAAGTAGTTTTCAGGACAACTTCTGCTAAATTGCTGGGCGTGATATCAATTACATAGAATTAAGAGTGTGGTTCAGCTGGCTCTTTATCTGTATATTGTACTGAGTGACCTTTTCTTAACTGTGTTCAAAGTACCTTTTCCTAATCCTGAGGCATGAACCTGGTTGTTCTACGTCAGTCTGAAATTTAATTAAGTGGGAATTTATTTTAGGATGTTAGTTTTAAATGATAATGTATGCATACAAGCAGCATAATGTAGCTGAAAAAATTGAGAAAAATTGAAAAAATTAAGACATGTTTGATGCCCAGACTGTATTCTTTGATCTTAATAGTTCTCTTAAGTAAGAGGTAATTGTTGAAAAATATTGTGCATCTTGTTACCCTAGTCTTGCTCTTAAAATCCACATGACTATGTCATGACTATGTGGTACTAAATGTACCTGCATTTGCTTGGTGGCAAATGCAGGTACACATCTCACATGTTTTACCTGTAAGGATGCAACATCTTATGAAGCCACTGAGACTGAATACAGTACCTGTTTTTACCAATTATAACTTTTATTCTAACTAGACTCAATAAACTAATTTTTATTTCTGATTTCAAGTGAGTTAAGAAAACAAACATTTACTACATGCCTGTAATATAAATTGTACTTAAAAACAAAGCTGTGTATGTTAATACTGCACATTCTTATGTACACCGTGAAGATCTCATTCAAACAAGTCATTCTTCCCTTGCTGATCAGACACTGCACATTCTGCTTGGAGAAGAACATACATTGGAAGAACGAGGCTTTTCTTCCCTTACAGCGCCTTGCTTAAGATAATAAAGTATATGAAAGATCTTGACCAAAGTGCTCCAGACTCAAACTTTCATGACATTTAATAATAAGTAACACTGTTTGAGGTAAAGACACAGCAGTAGGTGTCACTGCTATTAAGAAATAGGTCTCCAAAAATTGCTTCCAGTCTTATTTGGAGATTAAGTGCAATATGTAGTAAGCTACATTTCATTCTGGTTCCTTGAGCTGGTGGATCCATTCTGTGGCTTTTTCCTTGCATGAGCCATATGAATGACATAACATTCATTTTTTCCCTTATTTTTTCAAATATATCTGCAAAGAGTAGAAAAGGCTTTAATTATAAAATCAGGTAAAGCAATACTATTGGATTTATGACAACCCCAGACACCAGGAAGAATGATGCACGTCTGACTCCATGATATCAGAAGGCTAATTAATTACTTTTCTTATACTATATTATACTATTTTATTATACGATACTTTATTATACTATACTATTTTATCATACTATAGTTTATTATACTATATTGTAACTATTTTACACTGTATTACACTAACAAGAACTATACTAAAACTGAAGAACTCGTCACTGCTGACAGTCCCGACACAACACACGTGGATCCAATTGGTCACCTTGGGTAAACAATCTCCAGAATACGTTCCACTTGCGCATAAACACAGGAGTAGCAAATGAGATAAGAATTGTTTTGATCATTCTTTTCTCTGCTTCTCTCTGTTCAGAGGGCATGTGAATACCACACAATACTATTTGGTTCTCTGATTTCTGGGGTTTTTTCTCCATTAATCTTGCTGCACTCGTCTGTGGTGTTTTTAGCTTTCTTCCAGGGTGTTTTCTTGTTTGCTTATAGACATCATCTTCAAATATATTATTGTGTATTTGTTTGAATCTGTAGTTGGGGAGAGGAATTATGGGATGTTAGCTGCTGTAATTACTGTTCATTCCACTGAATACCTGCCTGTAATTAAGTAGGAATAACGTCTAGGGAATTTGAATCCATCTGTCTTTGAGCTCCAGCGTAAAATATTGCATAACACTTTCTTCTTTGTGTGCTTCCAAGGGGAAGGCATTTGTGTTCAGTACCCACTCTGTGTTGCTTGGTAACCACTAAAACCATAGTGCACCTTTAAAGCATATATTTATTTTGTATGTTGTATTTTTGGAAACTTTGTGCATCAGCACTCTATTCAGACAGAGATGAAGCACTTAAATTTTTCAAGTTTTGTTTTCAGCAGAATAAAATTGCAGAGTACTAGGATTGATGGATTTCTGGTTTTAATTAGAATCAGCTTTCGTGTGATATTGCACACTGAAGTATGCAGGTAAATAACTGACATCAGTAATGTTTCTAGCCAAAAAAGCTTACTTTAGCATGGATTTCTTTCTCAATTGCAAGGTCTGATAAAATTAAGAAACTTTAGGAGTGTGCTGGAATGCACAGAGTTCTTCTGTTACAAAGGTAACATTGCAGAGTAAGCAATTGTAAAATTTGTGCATTGGGCCTATCAAGATGCCCTACCTCAGGAAGCATCAGTTTCTTTCTGGGGTATCTTCTTAGATTCCAGGGCCTGTAGTTACAGCTTTGTCTTTCTAAAGGTTATGGCTCTGGATTGCTCTCCCAGGTATATTACCAAAAAGTTCTCTTTCGTCATTCAAGAGAGATGCATAAGACTTAACTCTCTTTTTATGTAGATGCCTTATAGTGGAGGGTAATATAGTATATTGTACTTCACAATGTTGTAGTTTGTCTTTGATAATGTTTTATACCTGCCCTAATTTTAAGGCACCTGATTTTCTTGGGATATTTAGTGTTGATCACTTTGAGTATATCACTTGTAGTGAAGGCAGAAATTCAAGCAAATCTTGTAGCCCATAGGAGTTGCTTTGCAACTTGATACTGAACTGACCTGTTTGTATGCTAGACCTGAGTTAAACTGAAGTATACAAGTTGCTTTAGTATGATGCTCCACTTGAGCTAGTAACTTAAGTCTTGAGATTGCTTATTTTTGTGGGGGGGTTTTTTGTTTGTTTTTTGTTTGCTTGTTTTGTTTGTTTGTTTTGTTTTTGGGTTTTTTTTTAAGAGAAGTATGTAGTGATTTACATCCTACTTATTTTGTATCACACTTCCCAGTGTTACTGTGGTGTGTTTCTAGTTGTTGGTGCCTGGGTTGGGTGCACTCTGCTCAAGTTGAGGACTTGCAGGGATAGTGTGGTGCCTTCACTTCTTTTGTGTTCTCTGTCCTGTGCCTTGGGCCTCATTCATAGAGCTGTGTGGAGGTTTGGGGGGGATTTGTATTACTGGGTTATTTTTTAAGACAAAAATAAGGCTGATAAGAAATGGATATAATTTTTGGGTTCAGTTTTTATGTCTAGCTTCAAAAATAGCAGGGAAGCTGAGTTAGGTGATGTATGACACCTTGGCAGCTTATTTCTAATTTTCTATATTTAAACTCATTTTTATACACAAATAGCTTGCATTCTTTGCTGTGGTTGCTAACACAGCCTGAAGCCCTGTTAAGCTACAGATGTGAGTTGTGACTTAAGCATCAGTTTTTAACACTTGTTTAAGACCACATTAAGCCTTTTGTGGTGATAGATTTCTGAGTTTGTGTTTGTTTATACCACCCATTACGCTGTCAATATAGGGGACATACATAAGTGCAGTTTATTAATTGTCTGCAAAACCCTTTATAACTGTTCTAAAGATTTAGTGACAAAAACCCAACCAGCTCCAATTTCAGTTTTGTCTAGTATTTTTCTACATAAAATGACCTGTCAGAGAATACACTGTAGTGGTTATACCATCTTCTGTATATAAGATCTATCTGTAGCATAGTCTACTGTAATATATAGGGCTATTAACACAGCAGTTGAGTAAGCCCAGCATTTATTATACAAGCTATATAGCAAATGCTTTTAGGGATTGCAGTAACAGTTTGGACTATGAGCTTAATTTCTTCTGTGGATGAGAGCCAAATTCACTGGATTTTAGTAACACAGCATGAAAACTTACTCCTTTAATTAGTAATGTTCTCAGAAGGTTACAGGAGAGCTGGAAGAGCTGTGCTGGGTCACCTGCACTTCTTTTCTGTGTACGTGCTTATACAGACAAGTGTAGCTGCTGCTGCCCCACACCAGTGAACCCCTTTATACTGCTGTGAAATTATTGTTCCTGTATCTCTTACCTCAGATTACTGAAACCTTTGTTATGCTGGACCCTTCATAAATGTAAAAGGAGTAATTAAGTAATTCTATTGAGAAGACAGACAAATCATACCATGTTTTAGTTGCTAAACAATACTTTCAGGTGTAAAATGAAGTTGAGTTCTTCCTTTAAATAGGAATGATAATGATAATACCTGATAATAGAATACTATCTAACTTTTTAATGTCAAGGAGAAAGAGTTTCATTTAGTTTGGTAGTGATGCTCTAAGGTAACACTTTTTTACTTTAAATTGCATTTGAAAGCTGTGAGTTTAGAGAAAGATGGAAAAAGAGCAGTAGCTTCACCCGTCAAAAGAAATACTGCATCAATTATACCAATAAAAAAAAGGGGATATCAGAAGAAAACTCTTTTAACATCAGATGTGACCTGTGCTTCTGGGATCTGTCAAGCTTCTGAGGAGTTTGGAAGTGGCAAAATGAAACAGTTTTGTACTCCTCTGGGAGCAACAATGGTCTGTTGGAGATGTTTGATGAGAATCGTAAAACTATTGTAAGAATTCTCCATATCACACTGGAGATAACTGTCCAAAATGCCCCTTGGCATTAATATGTAATTCATATAACGTTAAGTCAGGACAGAAATCTTAAATTCATTTAAGTAAACTAATGCAGGACTGAGATTGGACTGTTGGGTTTTCCTTCAGTTGAGAGCAGATGTCTTACTGCCAAATCCTGTCATAAGAAATTGTTTTAAGAAGTAATGGAAAAAAATAGGAGGAAAACAAACATTTCAATTCCTTTCATTTTCCGTGTGTCCAGAGCTGCCTGCAATGACACAGCCTATATGCAATAGCACATACTATTTCTTGATTAAAATAATAAAAAAAAAAGTAAACCTGAAGAACATTTAAATAAGATATACATGAAATGAGTGAGTTATCATAAATAAAATCATTTATTCTAATCTTTCTGATACTAATTCATGTAGGGATCATGAGGGGTTTTGCTGTTGACAGAGAAGGTTTTTGGTGTGTAACAGGATTAGAGAGTAAAGGCGAAATTAGCAAGGGAAATAATGGATAACCAGTGAAGCAGTTAAACTGGGGTTTCATATAGCAAAAGAAAGAGCCACGGTGTATTGAAAGGGAAGGATGACGTCTCTGAAGATGCCATCCTTCAGGTGACATTGCTGAAGCCCTCTGACTGTTTCTTCTGAACTTACTGGTGCTGGAACTGCAGATGGAACTGCAGCAAAGGTCTGTGGACTCGGACCTCAGTCTAGTTCATTCCAGCTAAATGTGCAATGTAAATTGGGAACTACAGGTCTGGCAGTTCACAAGGCCATAGAGAGCACTTCTGTAGAAGAGGAACGTTCTGCTTGAGAAGCTACTTAGCCATCCTAACCAGTGCAACACGTCAAGCCCCTCGTCCCCTCATTCTTAGCAAAAGGCTTTCTTCTGTTTATCAAGCCTGCCCTTAAAAAATATTGGAATGTCAGATTTATTGTATGTGCCATCTACAAGAATCCTCATGGATTTTGGGAAAGGTTCAAGTAATAGTAGATATGAATTTGGTAAATACAGTGCTGTCAAAAGAGAGCATTAAGTGGGCATAAAATTTTTTAATTTAATTTTTGGCATAAATCAGAATTGTCCTATGTGAGATCTCTGTCTGACCAAGTAAGAACAAATTCATCCTGTTCTTTAAAACCCCACCAAAAACTAAGAGCTTATCTTCTCTCTACTAAAATTTTGTCTAATCTATTTGCACTTATTTTTTTTTAAATCCACTTGAGTATAGTGCCTGAAGGGGATTATTACAGCTCAGTAGAAAAATTATATGTAACAATATAGAAAAGAAGAATTTAATTTTAAATCAAATTTAAGAATTTGTAGCTCTTTTTTTTTTTTATTCAGAGATACCAGCCTTCTATCTGGTACTGCAGACAAACTGCTTTTTGCTGATAATTCTAGGTACTAATTTATTTCAGAGATTGGAGTTTCAGGGGCTAGATTTTAAATCTTTCCACATGTAGAGAGGTCAGTAAAGGAATTTCTCTGTGGCACCACTCTTCTTGCAATAAGCTGTCTTAGAGGCTCATGTTCAACAAACTTAGGTCTGATTCCTGAGTGGAGAATTTTAGATGTTTAACTCTGCAGTCACTGAGCAGCTCTGCAATAGCCAGAGGGATTCACTACAGCACATGCACATATCTTTGCAAAATTAGTTGCCATAATTAGTTTGCATCACACATACAAACATGTGTCTTGTTTGTTGACGACATAATTACTCTGCATAATAGAACTTGGAATGTCATGTAGGAACATACTGTGAGAAATAAGCACTGTTTAAACAAGCTATACTTGTATTTTAATAACATTTTAAAATATTGAGCACTGAATTCATATGAGTGGGGTTTGTTTCACTGTAATAACAAATTCTCTTAGGATTTTTTGTTTGTTTAGTTTTGCTGATTTTTAAAATATCTTTAAGGATGAGTACAAAATGTTAAATTCAATAGCAGGGGTTGATGTTAAAGTAACTGATGATTATATCTGGAACTCTTTAAACAAGTGGAATGTGAATGCTATTGGGTTTTTCTTATGGATGTAAGCTGAGTTCTTTAAATTCTAGTTTATCACTGTCTAAAAACTTCTGTAAGATCTATTAACCCTACTCTCCCCCTTCCTGCTTTTCAGGTCAGAGATAGCAAATTGCCTACTTACAAGGACTGCAATAAAAACCCTCCATTCCCTACATTTTTTGCTGATGGAGATGAAGAACTGCCAGAAGACCTTTTTGATGAGGAGATTTTCCAGTTCACAGATCCATCTGTCACATTCGCATAATGTTCCTCGCATCTTTGTAAACACAGTTTTGTTATTTCATGTACGTTGCAAGGCTGTATAAAAGTAAGCCTATGAACTGCAGTCTGGCCAACTGACTTAAACAATTCAGATATTGCCATTTTGGTCAGGTAATCAGATTTCCCACCGTCAGTCTCAAACCTGTACTTAAAGCAATAGGTGGGTCTGAGGGACAGGTTGTAAAGCACACCAAACTGTGTGTCTTCAGTGACCTTTTGTCCTCTACGCCAGGCTGTGAAAGCCTACAAAATAATGAAAAACTGTTGTTTTGAAGATGGTTCCAGTTCATTTTCTGAATGTGAACAAATTCTGTTTCTCTTTTATGTAAAGTATACTGGGCAACTCAGAAATCAGAAAAAGGTTCCAGATCTGCCTTGGCATCTGAGGTTGGGGGGATCCATGAAGAGTAATCTAAAATAAAACATGAAAATGCGTGAGCACTGTTTTGCAGAATGAGCTTGTTTTACTTCTTTCTTTCTTTTATCCAGATCTCTTTCTCTCATTTTGCCTTTGTGTTGTTTAATGTAGCAGATACCCAACAGATTTTCTAGAGGGGGGTGATCGTGGCCATGTGTAGGGTGAGGGAGTGTTTGGGTGGGAAATATTCGGTAACAAAACAGCACTAGGACTGCAGGGGCCATCTGTCACCTTTGCTAACAGCTTGTTTTGAACTTCAGAGGGGGTACATTGAATGCTCTCTGGAGAAGTCTCTGTGCATCTACCATGGTATTTGTATTAGATTCTTATGCTGTTACAGGAGAGCTATTTCCAAGGAAAAAGGCCAAATGTGAGGCATGTCTTTATGATAAGTGCTCATTTTTCTCTTCTGTCCCACCTTTCAGTGGCAGCTGGGATCATGTCCCTTCTGCTTTTCATTTTGCATGATTTACTATTTGTAAGTTTGATCTTTTGGATCCTGTGAATCTTCTCATGTACAGAAGTACCTTCATAACTGTACTTCATAGTCAGTGCTGTCTGAGCACTTTACTCACAAGCCCTGCAGTAGTTAAAGAATTTGCATACACTGTTACCATTAACACCCTGGCAGTGCTGTCTGCTCATCTTTGCAGCTTCATCACAAGCTATGAGCTCAAAGGAAGCCACAGGTTTATGGCAGTACATTAAGGTGAACTCTTATTACATCAGATAATATTTCAGTGTGGGGAAAATCACCAAAGTACTTCAATTCCTGTTTCTTTGGTAAGAGAACTTTTCCCTTTCTGGCATAAAAAGTGAAATTCCAATGATCTGATCATGTTGCTCTAGAGAATGACTGCAGCCATTCAGACAATACTGTAGTTAATGATGCCTTCCATTTGTTCAGTTTTAAAGTTTCTGTTGAAGCCAATATTCTGTCAGAATAATCTCTGCAGTTTTGATTTTGAAATGTGTGCTGGGTGTGAGCTGTATGATTTTTTGAGGTGCTGCTTATTCAGGTCCCATTTTTACTGAGATGTGCAGGTGAAACCTTTTCCATCTTTATCAATAGTGCTTTAACATCAAAGACAAGAGCTTTCATAGCTCAACTGCAGGCTGATGTCCCAAAGTATTTTCTGTAGAGCAGGTGCAGGATGAGATGGGTGAGATCTGCTGATGTGAGCTCAGAGTAGTGCAACTCAGATTGAAACATAAACTTCCATTTGACCCATTCTTCCATCAGGCATTGGAAGGCTTATGGTGTTTTAATTTTCCTTATTGTTCTCATCCCTGTTTTCTGCTCTTCTGAGTAAAGGGGGGACTTTGAGTTGAGAAAGCCAGGCTGAATTTATTTCAAGGAGCAAAATTGTTCATAAGTGTAATGACACCAGATGCTTTAAGCCCACCTACAAGTTGGTTCTTAGAAAAGGTTAAGGATGTTTAATGAACTATTTTTAGACATTATCAAAGGTGTTGAAGATGAATATTTATTCTTCATTGTGGCCAAAGGTTGTGGCTAATGGAGATATGCTTTTAAGCTTCAAATAAAAGACAAAACTGGGTAAATATCAAGTCCTTGTGTCTCAGATAAGCCAACAGTTTCTCATGCAAAAGGATGTGTTAATTTTTGTGAAAAGGCAGACCCAGGGCTCTGTAGCAAATAGATGTATCTGTGTGTTTCGTTGCTGTGTTTGAGTAATGACAGTTTAGAGCCATCAGGCAGCATTTTCTCAGGCAAGCAACAACAGCAACAAAAGTAAGTTCTTATTCCATATTACCTGTAGTTATTTAAGAAGGAGCTGAACGTTTTACCAGCGGTCTGAATCCTGTAAGACAACATCCTACCCAAAGTTGGGAGCTGTTATGCTGCCCAAGGAAGTAATCAGTGGCATGCTCTGCTACCAGTGCCATAACTCGAGAAGGTTACTACAAGGTTTTCCCCAAGGTCTTGTCTCCAGGCTAACCAACCCCAGCTCTCTCAGCCTGTCTTCATAGGAGAGGTGCTTGTCATGGTTCCAGCATCTGATCACCTTTGTGGCCTTTTCCTGGGGTCACTCTAGGAGTTAATTCTGTGCCCTTGTGCTGTGGGCAAGGCACTGATCTGGGGTTTGCATGTCCAGGAGCTTGTTAACCCTCTCCTTATGCTGTTGTGTTTGTTTGGGTTAGTGGGGTGTTTTTAACATCAGGAACATGCTGCTCTGGAGGAGGATGTAGAGTTAAGCTTTAGCTGTGTCTGTGGCTTCATAGTGTGACTGCTTTGAAAAATAAATACTCTTCAATAATAACCCCTCTCAGTGGTTCTGTAATAGTACGTGAATAAACAGTGTCAAGCTTACAATATAAGTTGAAGGTAAAAAGACAGCAGGAAGAGGAAATCAAAACACTCATGTATCTTGACAACATAATTGCAGCCATTGATGATAAACAGGGAAAGTTTATTTCTCTTGAAATACCATACTTTCAAATACCATTGCTCTGTCATTATGTGAGACTGATAAACATTTTCGTTCGCTATTTTCACTTCATGTGGAAAAATGTGGTTTGCTCTGTTAGTGTTCAACAAATATTATTCGAGTAATATTATTCGAGTAATGAAGGGGTGACAAGAACTTATTGTAAAATTACACCTTCCTTACTGTTTCCTTGCTGAATTCTAGAAGTCCTGGAGGACTTTGATGATCCTAGAGGCCTTTGCCAACCTTGAAGACTGTGACTGAAAGAAAAGAAAACTGATTAGGATGTAAACTGTGAGGGGGCTGATGTGCATAACCCAAACCCCAATCAGAGGCTTCCCACTGGCAGACTGGTGCCAGCCCTGTGCTTGTGAGCTCCAGCACACAGGCTCCCCTGGAATGCCAAGGTGAATACTATTCAAAGGAAGTTGCTGGCCCCACCCTAGGGTGCTTCATAAAATCTGGCTCCTAGAGGAGCCCAGTAACCACAGTGGGACAGTGGTGGGGTTCATTAATTTCAGGATTGCTGTGTCTGTAGCTATGGCTTGGCTTGGGTCATTCTTCTGATTTATGTCATTCCACCCCTCCACCCCCCTTGAGATTTTGCGTGGGAATGCCTTGGTTTCATAACTGTAAACATTATTTGTACACAGTGTCTTCCAGCAATTAGCTCCTCTGCCCTTCAGTGCACAGATAGTGCTTATTAATTGCACTTAATGAGCATCTCTCTCCTGCAACAAATTGCCCTGGTTTGTTGCACACCTTAGCATATAGCATAGCTTAGTATGATTTATTCATATAACACGCTTGAAGGCGCTTAACATCTGTAAGAACATGCAGGAATGCTGACCTTGGTCTTGGGTGTTTATTGGTTTTGAAGGCAGCATACAGTTTCTGGGAGAGGAATTTAAACTGATTACACGTAGCCTTAATGTTATCACACCAGAAAAATAATTCATTTCAATGGGTGCAGCTCTGCTGTGTCTGAAGTGTGGCAGCAAAGAGACAGATGGCAGTTCTTCCTGAGGAATGTGCACAGACAAGTTGAAGTGTCAAGTAGGAAGGGGGTACCTCAGGAGTCTCCAAATTAAAGCAGCCTGCTGACTTTTACCTCATGAAGTACCCCAAAAACATGTGGGATGTGAATTTGTAGAAGACTGTTCCAGTACCCTGCGCTTGTGTCAGTGCATCTTCCTTGTATCTCTCCCCTTTGTTTCACAGAAGTGTGCGCATGGTAAGTGGGAATGTGGCACTGGAGTGGGCATCAAGAAAGATTTCCAGCAGCGTCAATGTCCATAATAATGTCCTAGTTCTCCCTCATTCCATTAAAGTATTACATATGTGGTCCCACCTTTATGCATGGTTGATATGGCTTAGAATCATTTCTGCTGGAATACCAAAGACCTGAGCTGTGATCTTGCTTTTTCATCCAAGTGGCACCCTCTGCCCATGAACTGAAAATCACTCCTTGGGAATAATTCCGTTTGGGGGTTAAATTAGTATTCACTGTCAGGGCAGTAACTTTGGACACTATGACAGAGCCCAGAAGAGAAAGTCTGCTGAGAAAATTAGTGCAGTTTTTAGTGTGAACACAGAAAATGTCTTATTTGCTGTAATATAATGAGTATATGCTGGAGATCGGTCCTCTATGCTATGGTGCTTCCTGCTGCTTCTCAAATTCATGTGTGTAAAATATGGCATAAGATGTACATATTGTGCATAACTTGAAGTCAAGTTATGCACAAATCCAGATTTGGGGTTTTGGAAGAGGCAGGATTGCAAGGTGGGGTTGTTACCAAAAAATTAACTTAAACCAATTTCATGTCAATCAAGTTGTGCTATATAATTTGCTTCACATTTCCCTGGGTGACACAGTCTTCCAGTCAGCTAAATCAAGCATTCATTTCTCTGTTTTCATCTCCTTCCTCACTTCCTTTCTAAGTAGTAGAAAACCTTTAAAAATGTGTGTTTTTTCAGGCACTCAAAACCTTGAAGAAGGTCCCTTGGCAAGCTGATTCCCTATTGAAAAGCAGAATGACTCATCATTCATAGGCAAGAGTAATTTTATAAAAGTTTCTTTTTTTATTTCTAAAAGATTAAGAGGAAAGATCAAGATTTCTGAAGCAGAGTGTTTTCTGCACATGGCCTCTCTTGAAGTGATGTTCCACAGTATATCCTGCCTGAACCCTTTTGTTCCTCCATGCAATAGTGAGCTTCCAGCACAAATTATAGTTTTTGTGCCTCAGTCTTGCTTAACGTAGATCTTCCCAGCACCACAAAAAATAAGCATGAAATAAGCAGTGGGCAATGAGAGATTTACTACATGGTACATATTTCAAAATCGCAGTTCCTTTCTCCTCCAGAAAGCAAGAAAGGCATTTTTGTTCACTGGTTTGTTCTCAAATCGCACCGCCTCTTTCCAAAGGGAGATTTTTCTCTAGAGTTACCATGTGCTTCCTTAGGCTAGCTTGAAATTTTCCTTTATTGGAATATTTCCTTTATATTAGAGCTGCATATGAGAAATAGCTTGATAGAGAATAAACATTTTATTTCGTTTCCCTCATCTT